TCTGGTATTGGCAAACGTCGGGCGGCGAATTCCCGATTTCTGCAAGGCGGGCATCAGTCAGAATAGCAGATAAGATGGCGACCTTTGTTATCGTAAGCGTTATAAGAGGTGATATAACACCGGTCTTTATAGAGACAATTGACGAGGGATTGACGATGCAACAAAACCGGACGGCCAGATGCCCTATACACAAATCCAGCAAACAGACAACTGCGACTTGGAACCAACAGCACGACGGTTTGAACTCCGTCCTAAAAGAACAAAGACGTGAGGATGACTACCAACCGGGGGCCGACTACTTGAGTGTATCAAGAAGGCTGATTTGAGTAACGTGCGTCAGTTAGCCCGATTTAATTTGCAAGGCAGAACACCAAGGCAGCTGCACGAGGGGCACGAGGAAAAAGAAATAAATCAGGAAAAAGAAAAGCGCGAAGCACCGTCCAAACAGAATGGATGATTGCCGGTACAACTCACACTAGGAATGGCAATACCCAATGTACAAAAACAAAATAAGAAAAACTTAAGTGTGTGCAACAGAGAGTCTGATGACCAATTTCAGTCCTGGAAAAAGAGAACAGAAGATTCGCAACGGTCATACCAACCTTGGGATCCAACAATATGCCACCCTTCACCCTTACTGACTCTATACCAATCTGTAACCGTGCAGAGGAAATAGCGGATATGGGGAGTCGGACTGAGCGATGCTTTTGTGAGGACGGGTGCGTGCCCACTGTGTATGTGTGTGGCATTGACGAGCGAATCTAACCCTGCAGCGGCGTTGCGTGCCTGACAGGATTCTAATAAGAATATCCCCGAATCAATTCCCCCGGTTCGTTGATAAATAAATAGAAAGGGCCAATAATTAACAGCGACAACGGGTGTTCTCCTCTGGCCCCAGTTCTCTTTCGCTATCACCAGTTGAAGCTTCTATGGAAGAAAATGACAATAGAGGTGAAATCGTCGGCAAATCATGAGGAAGCACGAAGTGGGCCAATGACAGATGGGCTAAGTCTCAAGCGCGGTCAGTTTAGACGCTATATCAGTCAGAAGAAACATTTACTATGTCCAGTTCACGGCGTTAGTCCCTTGCAATGACGCTACTAATCAAGAGCCGTGTTGGTGGGTGGGTAAATAGATTCCAAATTCGGACCAGGGGCGATCATGTACTGGCTGAGAAGACACTTTTTTTTTTGAGGGTCTCCAGTTAGGAGTGCTCTGACAGACTGTGACATGACCAATCATGATCTGGGATTCTTAGTCTGCAATAGGTCCAGTATCCTATCCTGGTTTCAAGGAGGGTAGAGTGCGTTGGCCCATCCCTCTCAGCACCCCATAATTTCTTTTCGTATTGTATTTCAGGCAACGAGGTTGTTATCGCTGATGCGGAGCCAGTCGGGCCACAAATGCATAGGCGATCATGAAATTAAGGGTATCCAATCTAGGTTGAAAGTGCAAGCGCAGGAATCCCCATCCATATTATCAGGCGACCTGGCGACAAGCATAGATCAATCGCGACGAACTCCAACAGAAGCCATATCCCTCATGTGCTCCACTTGACCCCAAGTATTTAGATCACGGTGGAATGACCCAATTCTATGGTTACTAGTATCCCCTACCAGGATCGCTGTCCCGCTAGCGACTGCAGCTTGTTCATATCATGCAGCGACATGGAACCTCGAAGAGTATACTGTGTATATACAGATTTGTGGGGATCTAAGCATCAGACCCGCAGTCTTGGTGTAGGTGTAGGGAGACAATACACAGTAAGGCCGATAGCTAGAGACACCGTCTTCCACTCATGGAGAATTCCCTAGTCTTGCCGAGGGTTCAAACTTCAACTGACTGTGTTAAGTCGCGGGAATCCACAGTGGCTCTCCGAACATTCGGCATGTCAGTCATCCAATGAGAAGATGAATACAGAGACAACACGGCGAATCCCGTCATGTCCACTGATGTGCAGGGTTGTTGACCGCAATGTGAACAGGTGTACCTGTCAAGTGTTTACTGCAATAACCCTTCTTCCCATTACCTGGTAGATCTGGGTCGCCCAACTTGCAGAGTAATGGCTACTCTCCCAGTTCAACATGAGCTATAGTGCAAAGTTTGAAAAATCAACCCGCATCAAGGACTTGGCCGAGGTGTGGACAAATCCTGAATAGCCCGACAGCCATTTCTGTTAGTAACCTAAAATTTACTCAAGTTGGACGGCATATACAATTCTCCGCGATAATCACCCAGGTAGCAAACACCAACCGAGGAAAGCTGGAGGGAGCAGTAAAAAAAAAAAAAAAAGAAAAGAAAAGAAAAAAATCCCCAATATACCTCGACTTGGCAAAGTTGGTCAATGATCCACTGCTCTATCTTTAGTGGTCTGATCCGACCGATTCCCTGCTCCAGTCGCTGTGGCTAACATCCTTATGATGTGGGGATCATAACAGCGGTCACCGCCACATTGCCATGGGTTCTCTCAGCTGAGGTTTCTGTATGGACTCCTCCGTACAGGAGTCCTGCGAGTGTATGCTGCTTGTGCCCTAGGTCAAAACAGGGGCGCTACTTGTGCATTAGCATTGCAACCGTTCTTCTTTAGTGAGAAAGCCACACTGCATGTGAGGTTGCCTTGCCCACGATAACGAGTTATGTGTCACACTTTTGACCAAACTTCGAACTCTTACAGTGGCATGGATCGTGGGAGTGTGGGACGCGAGCGAAAGTAAACCCATCATAGCTCGTAAATGAAATTTTCAGCAAGCAATAATTCAATTCCCGGAATTTTGATGTGGCGCATTTCTGTGTGACGCCTCATATCCCTGCAGACTAAGATAGCGTCGGTCCTATTCCGCAATCGATATCCCAGAACGACTAGTGGATCGACCAGAGAAGCATGGCTTCAACCTGCGCGTATTAACGTTGTGGATGAATCACACTTGAGCCTTTACAATTTCCAAATCTGTGCCCCTACAAGGCAGGAATACATCATTATATGCACGGATGTTCGCTCCATAGAACGGTCGATGTTGTAGTCGCCCTACACAGTTAGAGTTAGGTAGGTCTTGCTTTTCGACCAGGTATAAAATAGCTTACATGGGTAGATAGTATTGGGAATACTATTGAGGAGAGGGGGGATGCAACCAATAGGTAAATGTCTAGCTCTCAACGTTGAAATCCAACGGACGACTAACAGACGAGAATGAAGCCATCCCCACCGGGCCGAGCCCAAAAAAGCAGGCTAAGGATGTCATCCAATCACAAAAACCCAAAAGGACTAGAGAGGACGGCAAGTCGACGCGTCCACTTAGTTACTATACTAGTAGACTAGTGAGTAGAAACAGAGGAGGTAAAGGAAAGGGAATCCGAAAGAAACAGTGGGTGGTCAAGTGACTTGACCCAGAATGTCGGGATGATCACGGGTTGGTAAGCCCTTTTAACTAATAGCGATTGTACGGACAGGGCCCTCTGGCTGCCTTGGATTACAGGTCCCGTTGGTGTCTTCTCTCTAGTATTAACTTTTCCAAGCAGATATCTCAGGCTAATACTACCGGTTCTATAAGCCTTTGCATCCAGTACTTAGTATGTACATAGTACACCCTACTTGGACAAGCTCTGTAAGAAACCCAGTCTTCCACAGAAACCCGCTTTTCACGGCGCACTTAACTAGGAAGCAGAGCAGGAAGCTAATTGATTGCTGGGCGACCCCCTGCTGCACTAGGCTTCCTTCGCATTGATTTACTCTTTCCTGTACTAGTAATGGAGCCCTTTGGTTCGGTTTAGCCTGACAAGAGACAAATAAGAAGGGCCACCCAGATGCAGAGCGCATTAACCTTTCACTAGGTGAAGACAGGGAAGCTCATGAACCAATAGGGTCGACAAAATGAAGTGACGATCGGGAAAGACTACGTGCACTCATTCCTTTTCCCATATTCACTCCAATAGTGGTAACATGGCTGTGCCTAGGGACGAATAGACGTCATAGGTCATTATTGGAGTGCAAGCCCGCAACGCTGGCATTCTGTATCTGCGTCAGGGAGGTACTCGGTTCCCCGTTCGATAGACACGTAAATGGACTGGATAAAGAAGGGGCTTCGGGCATTTTATGATCCAACCTAAGGCTCATAACTCACTGAGCGTAGTCCAATATGTTAGTAGCAAATGGGCAGCCAAGGTGCTGCTATACAGCCACCCGTTCCTTGTCGAGAGAGTGTCCCGTCACGTTTTAGCCTGCAGGACTAAATCTATTGATTTCCAGGTTTTCAAGTGCTTTAACATGCGTATCGACCCACAGGTATGGATGGTGATGTCCGTAATTAGTCTACAAATCCCACTCTGTCCGCCACCTGCAGAGCACAGGGCAACAAAACGCTGTGGGTCCCCCTGTTCTTGCAGAGGTCTATGCTCACTCGGGATTTAAAAGACGTAGCGGGGGTGATACAGTGTATATGAGGTCACTGACCTGCTGATAATGTATATTTTATATGTATGGCCGGCATATGTATGTGAGCTCGGGCTTCTTCGGCCTTTCTTCCCTATTGGATAATATCGTAACTTCCGCTGAATTAGGATTTAGGGAAGAAATCTCGAAGACGTCAGAATCGAAGCTTCCTTGACCGCATCTTGGACTCCTTCACGGTCTAGCGCCACCCAGAATGGACAAAGGAACAAGGTCCCCGCATATACTTACATTGCATAAGTGATCTAGTGGCAAAGATCAACTGTACTCTCCATTACAAGTCTGCCCCGGATTTAGCAAGTTGCCATAAAAGGCCTTTTTGATCTTACTGCGTTTCAGATGGGTAGGTACATTGAACGGACAATACGCTTCAAGAATGCTATTCTACATTCAAGACCAGATGCCATCTACTGCGTGTTCAGCTCCGGCGTTGCTGACCGTGCTGGCACGCAACCCATCTGATAGATAACACTGATACACACATAAATGGACATCATTTCACAATACCACCTGGGCATGTAATTGTGTTATTTTCTGGCGGTATATACGAGAGAATAGAGTCAATGCACTTGTCGACATCAGAAGGCCCAGGGTATCATTACGGAAAAAAAGAAAATAAAAGAAAAGAAAAAGAGGTCGAGAAGGCAGATATCCCTAAGGCCATTACAGGTAAGGAGATCCGAATGGGCCGAGATTGTCCGGCCCGAAAATTCGCATGTCTTATCCACTCTGTAACCCTCAGAACGAGTAGAAAAGTCAGGATATTTCCACGGCGCTCTGTGCGGTTACCCAGCCGCAATCCTAACTGCGCCCGCAGATGCCGCAGCCTCGCAGGAGATCTAAGTCGCCACTTCCTGGCTGGCTGAGATTGGGTTCACTAGTCCATTACTTTCCAAATCTTGGACGGTCTATGGGGCTGTATTCGAGGCCTGTGCGTTTCTCACATCCCAGGGTGTCTCATATGGCATTCTATCAAGTACGGACGAATGCGTGGGATTAGCCCGTTTCGAATACGAGATCTGGCCCTGGGTCTGCATTCACACAGTACATTGGATAAGAATATCCAAATGGGAGATTAATGTCCTTCTGTTCCGGTAAACCATTTCCAGGTGAGATCCTCAGAACTGCATCGAGGCCAAACGATGGGTTTGGAACGATCCACTGTTTCTCAGCATCTAGAGCTCCACGGCTTTTCCCCACAAAAACGGCAAGGAATCGACCAAAAGCACGGTCCCAAGTCACGATGTGGCCTGTCTCTTCCCAGCTTTGGGCCGCTTCTGAGGAAGTCCCTTGGGCCGGTTTGGGTCTCGCGACCAGGTAGCCAAGCTGCATCAAATGTAGGCAACATTCCGTCACTAGAGATACCCCATGTCTGTGTGGTCTGACTCGAAGTAATCCCAAAGTAGAGGGTGACCACGCTTCAAACTGGGAATTTCCCACAGGCAGAGAGCCGTTTGGCAATTCAATCGGAGATCGCTGAGGAAACCAAGCAAATTCATAAGGTACAGCATCCTCATACGGCAAGAGGACGCGAATCTGATCCCCTTCAAATTCGTCCAGCAAGTTAGCGACCCTTCCTAGCTCCAGCATCGATTTTGAGCATCCGAGTGCTTCAATCTCCGCGATTAGGCGCATGCTGCTATCATACCCCGCACTATCGCCATCGATTGTCAGGAGCGGTTGTTTGGAACTGATGTAGAGCGGATTAGAGATGCTAGTATGGACCGATTTCTGTCTATTCCAAGTGATTCCGAGTCTCTTCTCCATATCTTCTAGTTGAGCTTCAAGGATGCTAAGGTATTCCTTCCCCGCAAGCTGCGGAATTGCATGGGCCACACGTTCGGCTGTGAGGAGACTTCCCAAACCCTCGAAGTCAGATAGACCTGGAAGGTTACCATTGACGCATTTTGATATCTGTCTTAGATAAGTTACAGCCTTTCTATGGCTTCCAACATCAATAAGAGCTTTCACACAGCCATAAGCCGGCTGGAAAGAGTGAGGTGAATCAGGGTGTAATCTTTTCGTCGTTCGATTCCATATATCTTGTAATGCTCTGTCGCTCCGTAATCTTGCGAGCAACGACAAATACGGCCCAACGGATTCTGTTGAATCTTGATGGTCGGCCCAACACATTACACTGTGCAAATTGTGCTCTGAAAAGCCCCCATCGGCACTTTCTCCCGTAACTACACTTCGCATCTCACTGGTATCATGATCTGGCTCCTGAAATGGCAAAAGTTGGAGAGAAATGAGAAGAGCGTCCACAAGGGGAGCGCACGACTCTAGATCCAGCCGTGGGGAACCAAGGGAAATATAGCCTTCGAGATACCGTTTCAGAGCTGATGCCGAGAAGGCAAGACAAGAATAGTACATTCCTATAACAAACAGTGAAGGCGATACGGGCGCTCTTAGTTTCTCCAGCCTTGTGAGAATCCCGTTAATAGTAGAGAGTATTTCTCCGTAAGAATCAGAGCGCTGGCAGCGTTCCAATGCCTGGGCTAAGAACCTACAATGCCCTGTTTGCAAAAACATCCCACCCAGTGGATCGTTGACATTTCTTTCAATTAATGAACGCAGGTGGTTAAGGTTCTGTATATCTTTTTTCATACCTCGTAACACCTCTGTCTTACAGGGAGCTGCGGTTCTTTGTTGGAGAGAGCTCCACAGAGGTGGAGGTGGTGAAGTGCTCAAAGGCCATTGCTCTGAGAAGATTTCCGCTAGATGTCTGTCCTGGGATGTTTCCGGAAGTACTCCATTATGAACTGGCTCTGTACTCCCCGTCAAGGCAAATCGTAATAGCTGAGACGGTGTGGGTTTGGTGAGTGACTCTAGAACACCCCGTTTGGCATTGCCCGAGACATGTCGAAGAGATGATTGCGACAGAGGGAGCCGGGAACGCAGCTGTCGCTTTGGCCCTAGCCACAAGCGATAATCTAAGCGTTTGGACATTCGTTACATCCAATGCCCAATGGGCACCTTTAGTGTCGCACGCATTGTAGAACATCATCTTGGTTAAGCATATGACTATGCTGGGGGTCAGAGCACGGGCGGTAAAGGAGGCGGTGAGAAGAGTAATCGTAACGGTCGAGATTGTGAATCTCGCGCTTCCGCTATTCTTCAATCTCCCATCTTATCTCCGATTATCTACAACCAGAGAGACGTCAACTTGAAACTGAAGGACTTCGACTATTTTACCGCCGCTTGTATCATCCGACACTAATCGCTGCGTTGGTGTTATATCATCATGCCTACTGAGCACAGCACTGAACAACCTGCTTCAAAAGTTTCCGACGACAATGAGCCCGTTTCTATCACAGCTAAGGAGCAAAATAACGCCGCTGAAGATTTCACTGCTAGCCAAAAAGAATCTCAAGGCGCAGAAGCTTCAGGTAGTCCATCGAAAGTAGTGGAATCCGTGAAAGAAGACGATACGGCCACAAAAGCGCGAGAGAGACGGGAAAGATTCAAAGCCCTTCAAGCCCGTGCAGTAGGTTTTTCTTTCTTTTTCTTCCTCGTCTTTATTCTCTAGGATACCTCAGGTTGTCTCTTCCCCAAGCTCACTGTTATGTAGAAATCCGCAACCGAGCGCAACTTGAAGGAAACGGCAGCCGAGACACAGCGTCTAGCAACCGATCCATCGCTGCTTTCGTCATTGTCTCGTAAACATGCGTTTGCGTCACACAACCTACTTAAAGCCGATACGGAAGCCGCCGGTGAAGATTTTGAACGGAAACGCGCCTGGGATTGGACGGTCGACGAATCCGAGAAGTGGGATAAGCGAATGGAGAAAAAACAACGCCATCGCGATGATGTCGCTTTCCAGGATTATACGCAAGATGCACGCAAAGTCTACAAGAGGCAACTGCGCGAGATACAGCCAGACTTAGAAGCTTACGAGCGAGAAAAGTTGGCAGCTATTGAGAAGGCTGCTGCTAATGGCGACTTGGAAATTGTGGAAACCAATGATGGTGAAATGATTGCCGTCGATAAGAACGGCTCTTTCTATTCCACTGCCGATACAGTAGGCTTCACTGAGAATAAGCCTGATCGAGCCGCTGTCGATAAATTGGTGGGAGACCTCAGGAAAGCAGAAGAAGTTCGGCTCAAGAAACGGAGAGAACGCCGTGGCGAAGAGGACGCCGATGTCACCTACATCAACGAAAAGAACAAGCAATTCAACCAGAAGTTGGCACGCTTCTATAACAAGGTATGTCTATAACCTAGTCACTGATTGTCCAAGATCTCTGGCTAATCGTCAATTAGTACACTACGGAAATTCGTGACAGCTTCGAACGTGGTACCATGATCTGATAGAAATACATGAGACTATATCTATAATACAGCGCAGGGCTTGCCGATCAGCGTCCAGCCATGTTTTAGGGCTATCAGGCCTGCAAGCTAAAAATGGACATTCACCCAGGCTACCACCTGACAGTCTGGAGAAGTGACCAGGAGCTGGTGTTACTTTTTTCTTTTCCAGAGTTGAACTCATAGCATGCTTTTTCTCCAAGCACTCGTGGCCAGAGCTTCAATTTTCTTTGTTCCTACAGCACCACGCACGGACTCGTCCTCCATCGCCTCAACCACGGCCTCGCCTACCATGTCCACCTGAAAAGGTTTGGTCACCATTGTACCGAGAAAGTCGAGTCTATTGCCCAAAAGTTCATTGAACTGAGACCCGATGAAGCCTCCAAGTGCTATTGGCAATGTAAACTTTCTGCTTGAGTCGTACATAAATGGGGCTCGGACGAAGATACTCCGCAATTCCGGGATTTTCGTTGATATGGTTGTTTCAGCTTCCCGTTTGGTTGTGATATATCTGCTCGGAAGAACGGGCGCTCCAGCTGCAGCGGAAATGAATACAAAAGTCGGGACATGCTCGTTGGAAGTCTCTTGGGCTAGGGCAATCGCTGTGTCCAACTCAGTCAGCATTCTGTCCTCACTCGGCGCCTAAAATACTGTATAGCATATACGGACCAGAATCTCTGTTCATGAGCTCATAAGTCAATTGTCCATCTCTTTCCTTTGCTTTCAATGGCTCGCCTTCCCGCCTTTGTAGGGGATTTTGGCTGCCCAATTTCGAGGAACTGAAGGCCCTTTGTAGGCCACTAATGATGGGTTCCCTTCCTTGCACCACGCCTTTGTAGTCGGCCTCAAGGAGAATGCCCATGGTGTGTACAACAGCAGTAGCACCGCTCAAGAAAGGCTTGTAGGTCTCCGGTTTCAGCATATCTGCTCTAGCCCATTCTACAGAGCCCGCCCAGCTAGGACGTTCGGGCGAACTCGAAATCGCACCCCATCGTGGTTCTCCGGACCGGCTGCGACAAGAAAGTATGAATTTCGACGAACAGTCTGGATCGGTGTTATCGGAAGAGCTCGTACCTGAGAGAAGTTACCGACCAGCCTCTGGCTACGGCTGACCTGCATATCCTCGAGCCTGTAAACAAAATAACAAGACAGTCAGTTATCTATAAGAAATCTAAGCCGACACTGCGGTAGAAAAGTATACCAACCTAGAAAACCGTTTCCGCCCGCAACCACTACCCTTTTCGTAGCCATTTTCTGCGTCTGTGCTGTCTGATTGACCCAAAAAAAAAAAATGAAGCGACAAGAAAAACAAGTGTAAATTATAATTATGTCCAGTGGATCATTGCAGGCGCATCTGGTCTGATCTTCGGAGCTTCCAAGCTCTGGAACCACCGCTTCCGACGACACCCCATCGTCATGCTTCCCACCGCGCTGTCACGTGCAGCTGGCAATCCCCGCGGTGATTTCGCGACAAGAGTAGATCAGATCCACGCACTCGAGCGCACCTCTATACTTCACCAATCTGATTTTCACATTTTTTCTATTGCATTACCTTATTCCTCTAGGTGATCACATTTCAATAATCAAATCTTACAATGCCTTCCGCAACAGCCACGAAGCGCGTGAGGGTAAGTAACGGCCATGGCCTCATAAAGGAAACTACAAGCTAACGATTACATCTACAGGGTGTCTCCATCTTCAGGCCCTTTGGTACGTCCATCCTAAGAGTCGATCACATCTAACCAACACGACTTTATCATCGATGGAACGTACTCTAACCATCCCTAGTATTCGGCAGCGAAGCCCAACCCTTCGACCCAGCCAAGAAACCCCCCAACGCCCCCGCCGACCATACGCATCAATGGCGCGTCTACGTCAAAGGCGTCAACGACGAAGACATCTCCTACTGGCTGAAAAAAGTCCAATTCAAGCTCCACGAGACATACGCCCAGAACATCCGTACTATCGAACAGCCCCCATTCGAGGTAACGGAGACTGGATGGGGTGAATTCGAGATCCAAATTAAACTCTACTTCGTACCCGAATCGATGGAGAAGCCTCAAACTCTCTGGCATAGTCTCAAGTTGCATCCGTACGGGCCAGATGCGGAAGCCATGAAGGAGCGACGGGACCAAGTTATCAGTCAGAATTATGAGGAGATCGTATTCAACGAACCTGTGGAGCAATTTCATGATCTGCTTACTGGGGGTGCTGCGTCAGCGCAACCGCAGAAAGGAAAGGGTGGAAAGAACACTAAACAAAGCGGCCAGCGGAATGTCAGGACGGCAGAGATCCCTCAGAATGACTCTCCGGGCAACCCCTATAGTAAAGCAACCGAGAACAAGGAATTGGATCGCTTGGGGGAGGCTAGCAGGACGGTCGAACAGATGATCAAGGAGGAGAAGGAGCGACTTATCGAGCGTGAGAAGAGGTTAGCTGAACTGCGCGAGAGTGAAGGAGTGCCCGCGAACACGAAGAAGCGTTAAACTTCGCGTCTCCTTTGAATGTCGTGCTAAAAGACACTCACTCCCCTTCCGAGTCATGCCGCGTCTCCGAGACACTTCGCTCGCTACGCAATACGATGCACATACGTTGAATGGAGCGCTACCTATGCTCACCAGTCAATAGCTTGGCGAAGACACGATCAGACGTAACCGCCTACAGCCAGGGAACCCTGACCTCCCTAAACCCATACTGGTGGACCAAACCGGGTTTCTTATACCCAAACATTCTCCTAGAAGGTTCACATCCTTCATTTCCTGTATAGGAACAACCAGAAGAGCTTACACCGTTCACTGAACCTACTACAGAAATGGCCTAGATGACCTAATGAATTGAATATCTTAATCTCATCTTCAAGAAGCTGCAGTAATCGCTCCGTTAAAATGCTCGTGTAATCCATAATCAATTCAGTTAGGGAATTAGTCCCACACTAAGTGCGAGTGAATTCCGTCCTCAACATCCGTATCCGCCTCCGTCTCCGGGCCCGAAGATAACCATGGACCCTAACATCGGGTGACAATTGTGGGCCAGTTTGAAAGACGAGGAATACCACGGAACTTTAATCAGAAATGGGCAATATGATGCGGTTCGAGATCATACCAGGTGTCCACGTAGTGTATGTCATCTGCTGCGGCATTATGACAGGCTAAATGCGAATGGGCTGGACCAAATAAGCAATAAGGGTCGAACGAGTATACCCCGGATGAACCAAAAGTCAAGATTTCAATTAATTGATTCAAGGTATAGGAAAGATATAGGTATATTCCAAGCACGCAAAAGAGCTAACCCCGAGATTCCTCATGCTTGCACTCAGTCTCCTCAATATGTACATTAGATTAACAAACAAATTTTTGGTATGTAGACGCTTAATCATAACTTGCTGTCGCTTTAGTCGTATCTCGGGTTTGCTTAAGGAACGGTATCAGATCTGTCCCACCCGTACCATGGATTCCCCCAGTAAGCTTCTCGTTTTTGTCTCGCATATGGGTCGTCGTCGACGTGGCCAAATTGACTTGTGTCGATCCATTGGTTGGCGGTTTTATCTTCGCCGCCATGATGATGTATCTCGTGACCATTTGAATATGTGAGTCCCTGAAGACCCCTAGAGACATTACAGCTGTGTTGTAGGCGTCCCGGATTGGCGAGTCGGCCTTGTGACTGAGCGCGTAAGCACGGACATTCGAGACCCTAGTGAGCATCTCGAGGAAGCGCCGGTGAGGCCCGGGCATGTAGTTTCTCATTTCCTGCGAGGGGGATAAGTTTTAGTCCTCATTCGGGCTGACCGGGATAACAGGTAATACATACTTGCATGAATCCGTTCTTAGCTCTTGGCTGAACTGCATCACTAGTCTTCATGCCTCCGGTAGCTATATGCTCCACGCCCAGGAATATGTCAAATGTCTGGATCAAGGAGCTTTGTGCATTGCTTCCACCGCTGTATTGATGCCATTTTCCTTGACCTTCGCCGATGTCGTAGAAGACGCCATTAGGTAGTCCGGCTGAGGCCATGTTTTTGCTGCCGGCTAGAAGCGGGCGTAGTTGGTGGTAGAATACAGAGGGTCGGTTCTTTTCATACATCCGTTCTAGTAGTGTGCGAAGTTCCTTAAGGCCTTCACTGAGTGCGAGGAGTGAATCACACGCACGTTGAGCGTCATCGATACTGACGGCGTGGACTGTGTCGAGCATCAACGGGATAAGCTGTGCTCCTTTTGCTTCCAATGCGACGGAGATCATTAGGAACCACTCTTCGTCTTTGGTTCCGGTAAATGAAGCCGTCACTGATAGAAGATCAGGGTCTGTCAGGTCTTCATTGGGATCGGAGGTTGTGTAGTTCCATAGATTAAGCGCTGCGTAGGTGGCACAAGGGGGGAGTTCTAAGTGACTCGAGACTTCGAGGAATGGTGAGGATATAGCAGGGGGTAAAACCTGTATGTCCAATTAACGAGGTGTCTAAGGATCCTGTAGTAATGAGACTTACATCTTTCGGTTTTTCACCACCCCAGATGTAAGCATGTGTAAGATAGGCAAGTAAAAGATATGCTCTCCTCCATTCTGGCTCTCCTTGTAATTTCGACGTTGAAAGGATAGGTAGTGCTTCCACAGCTTGTCTTATTGTTCGGAATCGTATATGGTCCGGTAGGTCATTAACAATATGCTCCCATGGCCAGTAATAAGGATTTTCCATCATCTTCAACGGGGGAGAATGAGGAAGGAAGCCATTCTGAAGTGACACCCCATATTCGTCGAGTGAGATCTCGGGAGTATAACGCATGGTGTGTGTGTGTGTGTGTGTGTGTGTGTGAGATAAAAGATTATCCTGTGACGGGGAATTTCTCTCTTGGAATTGTCTTTCGCACGGTAGACTGATGTTAGCAATATCTAACTCTTATACATGTTTATCAATGTATAATGGTCTGGTATTGAGGGTATGGCGGAAGAGGGCCGGATCAAAAAGCGGCTTCCGGGTCAGTCAATCTATGAAGATAACATCACAAAACCGGTACACACTCCGAGATAGTACAATATTCACGTCAGCAGGAACAATTATAGGAGCGCAATATGGTATGGGTCCCCTGTTAAAGAAGGGTATTGTCGGAGTGGTCCAATTATCAATACACGGATGTGAGGCGGAAGCGGATAGCCATCCGGCTTGAGCGACTAAAGGACGAGATGCAGCTAACATGCAATGACGTATAAAGACACATCTGTAGTCCACGGGATTAGCAAAAAACAATAATTCTTTATAATACTTTTGAGAAGTTACCGAGGTCAACACACGATGTCTAAAGTCAAATCGTCCAAGCCGGTTTTCCCTGAAAATGCAGGGTCAAAGGATTATGCGGCGTCTCTCGACGCAGCTGACCCATTGGCATCATTTCGTGATAAGTTCATTATTCCTTCGAAGGCAAACATAAATAGCAAAAAGCTCGCGAAGCCAGGTATTGGCTACCCTTCCAAATCTCTCCACAGTATCCCATCTGACAGGCTCCTAGGTCTCTCATCAGACCCGTGCATTTACTTCTGTGGCAACTCCCTGGGTATTCAGCCAAAGGCCACAGCGAAATATCTGGAGGCACAGTTAGATACTTGGTCGTCAATTGGTGTATCTGGTCATTTCGTAGATCTCGAGGGCTCTCCCCTGAAACAATGGCAATTGCTTTCGGAACAAGCCGCAGCATCGATGAGTAAGATCGTTGGAGCACAAGCAGATGAAGTTGCAGCAATGGGAACTCTAACTGCAAACCTTCATCTCTTGCTTGCAAGCTTCTATAAGCCGACTCCAACAAAGCATAAGATTCTGTTGGATTGGAAGGCTTTCCCTAGCGATCATGTAAGTATAAGTGCGCCATGTTTGATAACCGACCCCATCTCCTCAAGCCCGCGAGTACTAACACCAATGCAGTATGCCATTGAATCTCATCTGTCCTGGCACGATCTCGACCCAAAGCAATCCATGGTTCTCATTGGCCCAGATGAGGGCGAGTACGAGATCTCCACAGAAAAGATCTTGTCTTACATTGACGAGCATGCTGAAAGTGCAGCTCTCATTCTTTTGCCAGGAATCCAATACTATACTGGACAGCTTTTCGACATCCAAAAGATCACAGCCTATGCACAATCACGAAATCTTACTGTTGGGTGGGATTTAGCGCATGCGTACGGCAATGCTGAGCTGAAACTACATGATTGGAATGTCGACTTTGCAACCTGGTGCACGTATAAATACGGAAATGCCGGACCTGGGGCAATGGGAGGACTTTTTGTCCATGAGAGGCATGGTCGAGTTGATTATAGCGAAGGAGAGGACGCTCCAAAGTTTAGGCATCGTCTGACCGGGTGGTACGGTGGTGATAGAAGCGTAAGATTCAAGATGGATAATAGTAAGTAGTGAAAGACCAGGAAAGCGGTTAGAGCTAACATGTTCGAAAAGATTTCAAGCCGATCCCCGGAGCAGGCGGTTGGCAACTTTCGAATCCCTCGGCCATCGATCTTGCATGTCTCTGCGCCTCGTTGTCCGTTTTCGACGAGACATCTATGGCTGAACTGCGCAAGAAGTCTGTTATGCTAACGGCGTACTTGGAGCATCTCTTGCTGAAAGATACCACTGATGAAACACGTCCCTTCCGCATCATCACACCAGCAGATCCCGACGCAAGAGGGGCTCAACTCAGTGTTTTACTGAAGCCCGGCTTGTTGCAGAACGTCTCTCAGAAATTACAAGAAGGGGGTATAGTTTGCGATAAGAGAGAACCGGGCGTTGTCCGCGTTGCCCCTACTCCCCTGTACAACACTTTCACCGACGTATGGATGTTCGTGAGTTATTTCAAGGCTGCACTGGACGAACCAGAACTGAAAAATTGAATTGTGCCCTGATATAACCTCAAAATCGGCGACGGAGGGGTGAAGGTCACGTACCCTACACCAAAGGCTTGTTTGAAATGCACGCCAGTGTCTGCTGAGATATCAGGAATAGGGGCCACGGTGTGGTGACATCAACATCAACCTCCGCCAGTGGTATTTGGTCTCCTGGCCGCTTTCTGCTTGCCTGTTCCCAAGTCAGCTGTAATATAAGAGAGAAACCTAGGCTATATAATGACCAAATATAATGAATGAATGAATAAGACAAAAAATCACTTCAGCCAAGCCGGTGGCTATTCTAGGAGACTCATATACATTTTACCCGTCCGCCTAATCGGAGTGAGTACAATGGGGTTATTGAAATGTACAAATACTTGACTTCGTAAGAAAATGAGAAAGATAAATCACCGCAGCATCAAAAGTTTCCGATCCCCGCCCTATTGTCACAGTTTCGTAAGAACTCTTGTCCTTGGGAAAAGAAGTTTGCAGCAAGAATTGAAAATTCGTCGTCTAGCACATCAGGCCGCGGTGAATTTCCTGGTTCCATAGTATACGGCGGGCCTGTAGGGAACGGAGTTTGAAGACTATACTGTGGCATGGGAGATGGTGAAAGTCCCTGTTGGGGACCGAGTCGAAATGGTTCAGGTAAGGGAGATGTTTGAGATACTTCCCCGGCAAATGTGGGAGGCTCCGAGTATAATGAGTCGCCGAACATGCGTCTGGCAGAGTCTGAGTCGCTGTTTGAAGAGTATTCAAGAATCTCCCAGAAGCGAGAGAGATCTATTAGTAGACTTTTATTTTGAGCTCCAGATTCGGGCTGGTAGGAAGCAGAGACAGCATCTTCCAAACGTTGTAATCTGTCGGCCTGCGGTACAAATATCTCAGTTAGCTTGTTGTCTCTAATCAATACACTAAGACATACCAATCGGGCCATATACGGCCATTTCTCCCCCAGCTTCTGTACAAAGCTGACGCAGGTGAGAAACCGGTCACGCTTCTCTTGACGGATTGTGGAGTTTTCGGTAAAGCTCAGCTGTAATTCAATCGTAGCCACGACGGCGGCGCTATATCCAAGGAACGGATCTGAAACCATGAACGACTTCTCTTCGAAATACTTTATAAAGTGTATTATCCAGGTAGTGTGTGTTGATATTAGGTCAGAGGTATGTTGCAGGAATATCTCAGGGATAGTGCTTCGAAAATTCCTCAGGCTCAGCGAAAGTAGAAGTGGATGGTTGAGGAGACATAAGATGGTATGATACAGGCACTGGTTTAGGAAGAACGGACCCCAGTAGTTTCGGTTTGCTTGAAGATCCTCGAGTGTCCTCTCAGATAAGCTAGCAGGTTTGAATCGATGGATATACGGCACGCACGTTTCTAGGTCCATCTGAAGTGTGATTATCTTGGAGTATTCTGATTGCGAAGACCACGGAGGTACGTTGGTTGGCTTCCCGTGGCGACGGACATATCTAGCAGTCTTCGCAAATACTTCACTGAGCATGATCACATAGGCCACTATGCCTTGATCCTTGAGATCAGTAGTCCTAGCTCCATCAGTCTTGTCGTTTGGTGAACGAGACTGCGGCATGCTAGGACTCTCTGGGTAAGATGGGAAGCTGCCATCTGGGAGATCCAGATAGTCAAATTCCATTCCATGAAGGCGCTTGAGCAGGCAGATGCTCCAGAAGCATCGCCTGCGCTCCTCTCGCGCCGCGGGAGAGAGTACAGCATGAGACTCCGATGCGAGGTTCGCACACTGTGCTAAGTTCATAGCCAGGCTACTATGGATACTCGAGCGATGAGTATTTCCATCTACGAATCCAGTTAGCATAGACAAGCCAGCTTTCAACAACTATCTTACTCGTAAAATCCACTAAGCTCAGAAGGCATAAACACTGTAAAGTTGATAGCTCAACGGGTCCTTCTGATACCCGTCTCATCACTAAACTGCGGGCCACTTCTGTATAACCGCTGGTGCGAGCTGCTAAATCATTGGTGTCGCGATATTGGTCCTCGGCAAATCGGACACTCAAGGCAAGAATGGCGTAAATAACCTCCGGGTCACGATTTCCTAGACTACTAAGGAAGCTGTCCCTATGAAAAAGAGGGAGAGGCTGTGAGTCGCAGTATAGCAGATATAGCTCTGCAATAGCAAGGACATTTTCCCACGTCGGAAGAGGTGTGAGTTGGCTCAGTGATAGGGATGATGTTACGGAGCCGCCAAGGGTAGGTGGCATAAAGGACGTTGTTGTCTGTTGTTCAACTCTTTGGTTATTCCGACTGATGCAAATATTAGTAGTTCCTTGGTATATCCATAATGTGATTGGCATACCCTAAAGCATCTAGGACCTCACTCATCTTGGTTTCAAGGCTGCCTAAGCGGTCCTCCTGTGGCGTTTGTTATCAGGTCTGCTTTAAAAGCTCTAGGGGTTCGGTTCTTACCAAAGCTTGAGAAATCTTTATTTCTGGAGTAGATGGCACAGGGACTGGATCTCCAGTCCCAACTCCATTTGTTAGTGATCTTCTTCCTTCTTCGGCATATGCGCATTGCTGTTGTAGCCGTGCGCACAGTGAGCAAACTGGCTGTTCTCCTGGACATTTTGCTTTCTTGCGCCTGATGTTTAACTCAGTCATTGTATTGTATAAATATGCTGGTAGACTGACCTGCACGGCTCACATGCCTGGCGCACTCGTTTTGCTGGCCGTCCAGCAGATGTACGGTTCATTTCCGTTCGCTGTTATGGCATGAATGTCTGCAAGAAACTGTCAGGGTACCAGATGTTTATATAATGTGGAGTAGCATACCAATATATACTTGATTTAGTGCGATATTCGACCACTAAACGGAGCCTGTGAATAATAATGCGGCTGTATGTGCTATGTATAGCATGACTATGCAGGAAAGTCCTATGTATTTTGCGATGCTTGTCGCCTTCTATTAGTATCGATTGAACATGATTGATATGCAGTGGCTTATCCGATCAACATCCATTGGATGCAATCGCCGTCAAAATGGCTTACTAAGCCATAAGGTAGCTCCTCTCGAAAATCATTCGGCGTCAACTGATAGATGTTTATAGCTATGAGCATTGTGCGCTCTCTCTAACCGTACAAGTGGAATCAAGGCACAAAGATATAATTGTCTCGTCTAGCTATTGACCTACTACTATATAGAGGGAACCATCACACAAGTGCCGCCCGCACACAAAGCGAGAGGAACTTACTGAATGGCTTCTCAGAAGACGCAATAGATATAAGTATCATCCGAGATTAATATAGTCTATCCATGGGCACAGCAAGCTTTCAGCCGTAAAGTTAAGGATTGAGTTGAGGAAAGAATCCACACATTGACGCCCTAGCTTTAACTTATATACAACGTTGAATATCTTCCTCTCAACCAACCCATCTTGAAAAATAGAGATACACCGCCAATCGCAACGAGGCTCTTATTTTGTATATTAGGACAAATGTAGCTTGGCGAGATCCTCATTTATTCCTTGCCGAACCAGGTCTTGTGGCCCTGTATACAGTGTTAGTATAGCACTCACAATGTATAGGTTGCTTTAGCTGGGAAGCTAGGCATAGCCTGAGGAGCAGAAGGGTTACTAACGAAGACCATGCGGATCATAGCGTAGGTGGTGGCTAAAGAAGTTAGCGTTTAAACAAAGCATGCGGAATATGCAGACAGCACTCACCAGCACCCAGGCCGTAGACGGAGAGGAGGTAGGGGTACATGACGTACTTGCTACGCTCGGTCTAAGCAGCAATGAAGTCATTAGGATGTCTTTCTTATCCGACATATCGTACACGGTTAATCTGTAGATCAACTGACCTTCCACCACTGACGCTTGCCGTCGTGCTGCTGGAAAAGACGCTGGTAGTAAGGGACACGGTTCTCGCGGAACACGAATCTAGAGGAGCGAAAATTAAGATATCAGCTTAGGCTATATTCATTGGGGGTCGACTAGGCAAGACTAGGCATGACTCGGCCAATTGAGCAACAAATTCACCGGCGGATCGGGACTCAATTGCTGGATCTGTGCGCGGATATGCTATTTAGTAACAATTGAAAAGTACATACCCGGCCATACGAGGGGCAGTGCGGAACATTTTGGCGGTGCGCGAATGCGAAAGACTGAGGGGATTGAGGAGACAGAGACGACAATGACAGGTGAAAGACTGGCAGCAGCAGTGATCATTCGATGTCGTGAGGTGTGGATCCGAATTGGGAGTTGAATATCACGTGATTTTCCTGATCGCTCCGCCTTTCAGGTGCGTTGCTTAGTAAAGAATGGTTCTCATGTGATTTTTGAAAAGCCTAACCTAGAAGAGCATAGCGCGATACTGGTCTCCGTCATTGCCAAAAAGTGTCCGCGGTATCAAAGAGCTTCAGAGGCGAGTACGGCCACTCCTTTTACTCCTCGACCCTTATGGATTTCGACATATAAGGCATAGGTGAGGAGGATGATTAAAATACTAATTACTTTCCCCCCACCGCTCTCCTTTCATCACTCATGCGACCGGCTCTCCTTCGATTACTGAGGAGACCATCAGCTCTCTCGGTTCTCGACTCTCTGATATCGGCGCCCATTGGAATTGAGCAGCTAGAATCCAGATATCAATGCGAGTGTGTACGACGCTACAGACAAGCCTCGCGACAAGACCGAAGTGCACAGCCGGTGGAATCAGAACAACCAGCTAGTGCTGATTTTGGTTCACGACCTGCGCGACCACCGCTTAGTTTTCGTGTATATGAGATACAAGCGCCACAGACACGATCGAAAAACAACGGACAAACAAAGGATGCATCCACTGGTGTACAAGCTACTAGCTCACCACGGGACTTATTATTACAGCCGGAAAAACTTGAGTTCGAGTCGGATATAGGACACACTAATGACATAGGGTCTCGTCTGGTTGATGACCCGAACCGGCGGCACGACTTCGCGCTCTGGGAGGATTTGCTCCGCTATCGACAACGGCATTATGGAGACAGAGGCACATTGGATATCTGGGAGGGCTTGATGACCCGGGTGGAAGGAGTACAACTTCCTGTTTCTGGGGACGCAGCGAACTTTTTCTGGCAAAGCTTTGTGGATTTGGGTTTGAAACAGGAGGTTATACTGAAGGAGCTGGCGGATTATGCTTTTGAGTTATGGGTCAAAACAGGAAAACGATGGGACAGGTTCTACGAAAGTATCGTTGGGGGGTACCTCGAACGTGGCTTGGCGCAGCAAGCAGTGGAATGGCACAAACGGCTTCGAGATCCTCATTTGTCCTGTCCGAACGATATCCTGAGTGTCCTTAGAGCGGCTATAAATTCCTCCAACAGATCCAACCTTGCATCTACCATCGCCTGGAAGCGCCAACGTCATTCGATTCCGGCGGGGTTAAGGGCCTTCGAGAAGATATGCCGTGCTACACACGGCCACAAAATTTACGGCCAAGCCATATCGACGGTGCTACAGAGTGATTACATCGATCATGCCCCCCGAATACATAAACTCCTTGTCGAGCGAGGTGACCACCCGCAGTCATACGAGGAGATTCAGCCACTCATCGGACACATAAATGAGTATGGATCTCCTCGGTTTATTCAGAAGCTCCATCGCTATGCTAGCATTCGGTTCCCCGACCAAGTCGAAGCGATCAGCGAGGACGAAACTAGCCCAAGAGATGAGGTGGCAGGGCAGCCAGAGGATCAACACTCAGAACCTCGTGGGAAAGCCTGGCTAGAGGAGAAGCCTTTCAAGGACGACTTCGGTGCCAGACTGTTCGCCACAAAAGCTCTTAGGTTTGAAATGATCCTCTCTGGATTACGAATGTTCGGCGTGACGACTATTGGGCCTCAATCACTACGCGAGATGGCTATCCGAGCGCATGGTTGTCAGGATATAGCTGATAAGCTTCAGGAGCTTCAGAAAGCAGGTATATCAGTAGGCGACAGCGTATTTGTACGCCTCCTCCGCAAGTTAGCGACGGAAAACCGTGATATCCTCCTGTCCGATCTGCTTCACAGTGATCAGCATCCAGATGTCTTAGAGGATGCTCAGCTGCAAGAGTCGTTGTTATTATCGTACTATGTCGCCCGCGACTGGCGTCCGTACAACCTAACTCTAGCCATTCTCAGCCAGATATTCGAAGACAAATCGGATCTTGCCAACGTACATTTTCGGAAATTTTTGGCGGCCGGGGAGTGGAAGATGGCGATTCAAGTTGTTGACAACATGGCCCTACGCGGCGCGACGCTGTCTCAAGAGAGCATTGACTTCATCGCCGAACGTGTTCTCATTCCACGCGCACCGGGAAAACCACCTAGGCGCGACGATATTCCTGCTACGAAAGAGATAAAATTTGTTTCTCACACTCTACGCCATGGCACCTCTAACGGCGACCTGGCGGTTACGGAGCTCTGGGTTGAGGTGCTGAAGCGCCTAGGGATGCTCAACCTTTGGGACGAACTCCGAAAATGCTGTTTATGGCTAGCCCATCAATATTCTTCTAGCTCCAACACTACTCGGTCCATTGTCTCATATCCAAAGAAATCTCAACGCGAGACAGGCGCTCTGCCCCAGCAGCACGGGGACCCCTTACTCTGCAAGATATTCAGTCGAAACATGCAGGCTGCTATCGTCGCGTGGGGCTTTAGGATGCGGGTTTCTCAACAGCGGAAGTGGATGGTCACGCAGGGGGAACCATATGAGAGCCTGATCCCCTGGGTACGCGGTCTAGTACTTCTCCGTGAGCTTGAAAAGAATGGGGTTCACCTCTCGGTGGCATGGATTCGCCGGGCTTGCCGACATCGCTTGGCAGTACTCTACGGGCGGCAGGGGTTGGTCAATCGTCGTATGAACCGCATGTTGCGGCACGAAAATCCCTACAGTGTGGTGCGAGTCCTCGAAGATATCAATCTTGCGTGGGGAGAGCCGTCCTTATTTGGGGACCGAGAGGTTCGCGATACTAAGGGGTTGGTAAACCCTCCCAACCGGACGAGGCGGAGAAGGATCAAGAAGATGAGGTCAGCTTACCTACAGGGAGCGGGTTATTCTCGTATGAGAGATTTGTATAATAGTACTAGTAGTAGTGCCAAACGGGACTAGCATGTATGAGATAATGATACCAGAACAATACATAGATAGATTTTCTGCTCTGCGATAGATAGATTAGATAACATTCTCCTGCACTGCACATGTTCAGGCCTGTCCACTGGAATGTTTCTTCCGAAACAAACGTCAGAATCACTTGTTGTGAGTACATTCTATGAGGAATACCTGATGATTGATGATTGCCAAGCACCCCCGTCTGGAAGGGTCGGGACCACAGCAACGGCAAAAATAGGGTTAATTGGTTGGCTGAGCCACGCATGGCGCGTCACCACAAAGCCTTGTCTTTCTAAGAATAGTCGCAGAGGCAACGCGGCCAGCAGACTCCGTCCCTAATAAAATACCGTCCCCATGGTCCACTATCACACCCCCGATCGACGACATGCGTCTTGATTCCTCCCAGTGGAGATCCACTAGCGGTGTGTTGTTGCCTTGGGTGAACGTCCAACTTTTATTTATCCGTTGTAATTGAAGGAGTGGGGTTTGTTTCTTTGGATCGTGGTCCTCAATTTCTTCATCTCTGTATCAGATTCATAGACTGGTCGGGATTTCTCTCTGAAACAAACAAACCTCTTTATTTCCTTTTTTGCATCGACCCCAGTACTACTACTCCATATCGCACGGACTATCGTGTTCTAGTCATATCAATAGTTCCATTGCATAGTACATACATATCCACCTACCTCCCTTCGTTCTCCTTTTCCACGGCACCCGTTACATATTTGACGCTGCTCATCCCTGGTTGTTTATCGTTATCATATCATCACATATCCCGCCGCTGTCAATATGCTAGGGTTTGGCCTCTTAGCGTTGCTTCCTTTTGCTGCTGCCGGAACGGTGCTCCCGCGGCAAACAGCATGCAATAACTCGCCCGATTTATGCTCGAAATCTTACGGCGAGATCACTCATCTGGGTGCACATGACAGTCCTTTTGTACGAGATGCTTCCACTGGCTATTCGACGTCTGGGAATCAGTAAGTTTGGCGAAGGGCGATCCCACCAACCCCTGCTTATTGTTACTAACCCTACTTCAGGTATTTCAATACTACGGTGCAGCTCGACGCTGGCGTTCGCTTGATCTCGGCGCAGGTCCATAAGAAAGATAGTGAATGGCATCTATGCCATTCTAGTTGTGAGTTGCTGGACGCAGGAAAGCTGAGCACATGGTTGTCCGAGATCAAGAGCTGGTTGGATTCCAACAAGAATGACGGTATGTTAGTCGTGCATCTTATACCCTCATTCCTGTTCCCTGTTGGTCGATAACCAAAGATTGGCGCTGACGACGACTTCCATTTTTAGTGGTTACGTTGTTACTGGTTAACTCCGACGACGCTTCTGCCTCCGATCTCCATTCGCAATTCCAAACTGCCAACCTCGTCGACTACGCATATACACCCACCTCCCAGACTTCCGCGCCGAGCTCGTGGCCAACGTTAGAAAGTCTCATCAACAATGGAACTCGGTTAATGACATTTGTGGCATCTTTGGATGCATCCAAGAATACGGTGGCCCCGTACCTCATGGACGAGTTCACCTTCATCTGGGAGAATCCTTACGACGTAACGAGCCCCTCCAACTTCTCTTGCAACCCCGACCGTCCATCTAGCCTCCAGAACGACCTGTCGTCTGCGCTCTCGTCGAATCGTTTGCCGTTCATGAACCACTTCCTCTACCAGACAGTTCTCACCCTGGAGTATCCCAACTCCAGCTACGTGTCGACCACTAACGCGCCGTCCGGCGGAACCGGCAACCTGGGCGATGCAGCCACCAAGTGCAAGGAAGCCTACAACCGCCAACCAGCCTTTATCCTGGTTGATTTCTTCGACAAGGGCCCCGCCATCAAGACCGTCGACAGCCTGAATGGCGTCACCAATGCTGTGGGCCGCACCAACCTAACGGCCGCCACCCAGACCAGCGGCGCCTCCACCTACTCCAACGTCTTCAAGGGACTGGTTGAACTGGTGCAGAGCGCGAAACTGGGCTCCAATCCTAGTATGGGCGAATGGGTCTGGGTGGGAGGCGATTGGGGCAGCCTCCTCGGCGGCGGCATCACGCTCTAAGCGGAAGAGATCCTTCCGACATCCCGTCCATCTCGTTTCTTCATTCTCCCCATATTCACCATGTTAATGTTGTTTTAATTGGCGACGCACGAGCTTGAAATCAGCGCTGTTGCTTTTCGAGGCTGGAATATTTACGGATTAGCCTCGCTGTCGATATTATTGGAAAGTCACATGTACACGGAGACACAGGAAATCGGCGTTTTGGGTAAAGCCATGACTTGACTTTTGAATATAGATGAGCCTTCTTTTATGTTTGTCCATATGTACCAACCACATTCATACCATATCATGCCATGTACGTAGCAACCGTCAGATATTACCTAGAAATGGAACATACCCGAACAAACCTTCACCTCCCAATGATGGCAACTAGGTAATACACCTGAGAAAGAAAGAATCGCAAAACCACTTACTCCTTCCCCAACAACTCCCGTACCTTATTTACTTTATCCTCAAACGACTGCTCCTTATCGGTCCTGTACCACCCGAGATCAGCCCTCGTCACCACAAACAACGCACGATATTCCAAAAAGGGGTGGAAGGCGCACACAGCACCCCAACCCCCAACAAATCAAACCCCAAAGACCAGAGGATTAAAAAAAAAAAAAAAAAAAAAGAACCAACCTCGACCCAACCCTCACATCCGTTTGGATGCGCACAATCCCCTGCTGATGCAGAACCGTATGCGCCTGTCCAATAACCTGATGAACTTTGTCCCAGGGCCCCTCTGAACAAACATGCCACACACAGACACAACTGTCAGCTTCGCAATCGGACCAATACCAGAAGGACAAACAACGCATCATGGGCTCAGGGGTTGTGGGACTCAATCATTTCGTCGCATTTCATACCGAGGGTTGTGCCAGCGCTGTGCATCACGTACTTGAGACCGGATTTCTCGATTAGGCGTTGGACGTCGGCGATTTGGGCGGAGACGGAGGGAGAGGAAGTGCCAATCTGAACAGCGAATGCGTGGGTTCTGGGTTAGTTGGATGGTCTGATTTGATCTGATCTGGTGGAGTATACATGTTGTTGCGTGGTCGGGTTACATGTATACTGTTGGTTTTTGCCGGAGGTGTAGTCGGGATTGATGGAAGGGTTCTGGAAGGAAAACTCGGATCTTACCGGGATTAGGCAGAAGTCTGCGGTGCAGTGGGCTGGTGTTGGGATGGAAGAGATGTCGGAGGAGGAGGCCATTGGATCGGTGGTGTTGCTGGGTGGGCTTTTTGGTTGGGTGTTGTGAGTTTGATTAATGGAGTGATTTTGGACAATGGACAATTAATTCGGTTCGAATTAAAATATCAAAGTTTAATCTATGAATAGGATTGTGTGCGTGAGAAAGTGAGAGAGAGAAAGAATTGACTTGGGATTGTCTGGTGATGTTGACGTCGTTAAACTAAGACGCGGGGCAAAGGAACTCAGAAATACTCCTGCATGGAGGGGTAATCTATTAATCAATTCACTGTTCAGCTGGTATTCTTGCCAGGACCATGTTGGAATCTATAGATAAAAAAGATCAAGGGCATTCATTTCTTCTTGATCTTTTTCGATCTTTTGTTCTCATAGATGTTTACCTATGTTTACACTTACAGGTATCAAGTCATGTGTTTGATATACAAAACACCCCACTACTCAGCCATCACTACTAGTATTTAATGACCCTCAAGCGTCATGACCATCTTCATTGGGGCCGACAGGAATAGGCTCCACATCTGCTAAACATATACGATGAATCTGATTCGAGGCAATTTTCCATTAACAAATGGACTTTGGTCGGATAAGCCTTGCCTGGTCGCTCCGTTGCTTTTTCCTTAATGAATTGTAGATTTTTGTTTTTTTCCAAAAAAAAAAAAAAAAAAAGATTTAATTCATACCCCAGATCGGGTCGTGCAATAAATTTGCAACTAAAAGCCTTGATCCCCGTCCGAATCTAATGATCCTGGGAGCAGATTTATGCTAGTCAGTGGGATCGGCGGTTTCGATGCCTCTCGCAACTTCTACAGTTCCTTCAAATAATAATACGTACTACGAGGGAGAGGCACAAACATGTTGACATTGATGAAAGATACAACCGAGGGTAAACGATATGATAGGGAAAAGAAAAAGCTAAAAAGATCATCACCAGCCAGCCTTTCTCCAAGCTGACCGAACATAACTAACAAAAAGCATTAATAAACCTGCCATTGATTGCCAACCATGGAACCGATTTGATTTTATTTAACCCTTTTAGCGGTCACCCTCTTTATTCATTTTTATTTATTTTTTATTTTTTATATTTTTTTCCCCCTCCCACTTCCAGTCCACTTGTCAAACTGAACCCTGCGTCATTGTACATCTGGACGTGATCGTCAGCCCTGTTGAGGGGATTTTTATCCCTTTTCTAACGGGTAAGGCATTGAACGTCAAACCTCAACTTCAACCTCATGTACTGAACAGGGACCGAATACTACCTGCCGTCCCGTCTATTCAACCCACTATCTGGTTCCGTTTCCCTTTTCTGAAACAAAAACACATTGCTCTGACGGGGACTACCTTTTTTTCTACTCCCCCACTTGATTCTCCAAGTGCGACAGTCTTTTCTGGTTCCTTGATATCTTAGTTCCTCGCTCTCATTCGCCCAGAAACGAAGCGGTGGTCGCGGTTGTGGCAAACCACTGGGACATTCTCACGCTGTCGCTCTGACCTCTGCGATTGCGCAGTCTTTCGTATAGTTCTTCTACTACCTTCTTAGCCTGGTCTGCCTTTCACATGATTCTGTGGAGAACTTTCTATTCTTCGTGATTGTTGACCCATCAGAGGATTATTTATTGGTCTGTCCCGTCGAGTACAGCGTCGCTGACCGCCTATCGTCGTCAACGCTGTGCATAAATCGCTTTATCCTAAGCACAGTAACTTGCCAGTGGTTTGCATTTACAGACGTCTGTGTGCCCGACGCCTTGCGATCGTGTTCGCATCGGACACAAACTCCTACTGGCGCAGTCCACTCACCTACGTTACTTCATTCGCAAGGCGCATGCGACTCATTCATTCTGGCGGCCGAGGTGATTTCCTGGGAACAATATCAAACTCTCCGGCGAAGTTGTCTCGGCAGACGTGATCTGATTGGCAAATCTAGTCGCCTCAGGCTCCCAAAGTCAACGCCACGCCTGCTGATACGACCAGAACCCTGCACCACGCTGAAAGACTAGATCGGAGACTCTCCACTAAAACGTTATCGGCTGAACATTGTCTTTGGGTGAATCTCCGCCTGTCTCTCCCTGTCCCAGCCTAGCCAATCCGCCCCGCAAAGGTAGTATAGCGGTATTGTGAGGTCATATAAAATTGCCCTGGAAGTTGTATTCTCTTTTGTCCGGGCTGAATTGGGCCCCCAAAATAATTCTGGCCAGTATAAGAACAAAGAATCCGACGCAAAAAAAAAAAAAAAAAAAAAGCCTAAAAATATTCGGTAGCGTTTGGGTGCGATACCACCTATCCTGTCTTATTCTAGGCTTTGCTGCTGTGTTGGGCTATTTTACAATCTCTTAGGAGGCTCTTTCGTCCGTGTGAGATCATCACACCAGTGTACTTACTATCTCCTTTTGCTTTTTCCATTGCGACCCATGCCCCCCTGCTAGCTCCTGAAACTATTTAGTCGCAGCGCACCAAAAGCGCAAGGGATTGACATCTGACGACGTTCGTTGGTTCTTCCCCTCGACCTTCTCAACACCATACTACTGGGGTTGTAGGTGTTTGAAGCAATCCGCTGTGGCCATGCTTCTTCCGCACAAAATATTTCTAGTTCACTGCCTCACAACTTAACGGATGACCAAGCCCAATTTATTAGAGCTCCCAATAGGGGCTCAGCTCGTCTATCTGGCTGAGGGCGGTGCCAACGTGATATATCGCATCGTCTCCGTGAAGTCAGCTATTGCTTCGAAGAAAGAGTTGCCGCTGGCAGTTAATGGTGCTGGGCCTGGGGTGGCGGACTCCTATTGCGTCCCACCCGAGTTCAAAGGCAAATTACTTCGATTGCGAAAGGATACACCTTCCGGGATCCCCTATCAGGAAATTACTCGAAATTTCGACAAGAACATTCGCCCTCTCTTCAAACCGGAGGAGCTGGTGGATCAGGAGCTGGTATACCTCCCACGAGGACTGGTCCAGCATTGCAATGATCAACTGCGTCTCGCCGAGATGGACGGCATGCGTTCTAAACGACGTCAAGGCGTATATCTCGCCACTACTGAGCCGTTCGGACTTCTAATCACCGACATGACCACTTTCAACGACACAGGAATGGTTCTGGCCGAATTAAAACCGAAGTGGCTTCTACAGTCACCATCGGCGCCGGCTACTGCTCGCAGATGTCGTACTTGCGCAATGCGTGATATGAAGAACCACGAGGCGTGGACGAAGGGCGGGAAACCAGAGCGATCATTCTGCCCGCTCGACTTGGTCTCGGACAAGTTCGAGAATGTCCTGCGGGCCACTCGATCGGTCAAGGGCTGCAAAGACCCGAAGCGACTGGCGAAAGTGCTGTACTGGAATGGGACAATGCAGAAGCTTCTCGCTCATCAAAGAGCACATCGCGATGTTGGGCTACACGGCCCGCCGGCGCAGTCTCGAGATAAGTCACTCGCAATGACCCTCCGAGACTGCACGATGTTCATCAAGGTACGTCATTCTTGCTATTGGAGAGTGCCCTCTAACGGGTATAGATGCCGCGCGACGAAGTGGGAACTGTCGAAATCCGTCTCGGTGATCTGGATCTGAAGACTGGAGCTGGCGGCAAAGCGAAGTACTGGCTGGAGGTGGAGAAACAGTTGATCTCCGAGGGCTGGTACTTGGGGTCGACGAGCTGTTCACACCTGAGCGATTGTGCATTGCAAGGATTCCGAGGTCATTCGCAGCCATCTATCTAGCAGTTCGATTCTGTTCTAACTATTTTTTTTTTTCAAGGCCTTTAATTATTCTAATAGCGACCGACCCTCGAGTCGGATGTGTTGAGTTACGACGATCGCATGATGATAGACTGCAACTCTATCTTTTTAATAACCTGCAAGCTACGTTCGGTTTTCTACATTTGGGAGGTATTCGTCTTTCTATTGCTTGGTCTGCATTGGTTTATGTACATTAGGGCGTGCTTTAATTTATTTAGGTAATACACCAAGTCTAGAGAACAACTCAACCCCATACACCCACGTTAATCCCATCTCAATCGAAGGCCCCGAGGCCGCAATTACGGCCTCCAATCCCAGGCATTCATGTCTTTCCTTACGTTACCAATTCCTTAAAGCGTAGACATACTTCACGACCATGATATAAGTCCTTACCAAACATACGCATGCATCTACATCCAGTTCCAAATATTGTTTCCCGACTTTCGTTCACCATCACATACCATATAAGGCCATTAACAAGAAGGAAAGAATACAATGACTTCCTCATAGTCCTCCCCCAAACTAAACTCCAAGTACAAGTATAGATCAATATGACCAAGCCCAGTATCTAACCCCATAGAAAGCACCTACAACATACAATGCCCACACCAAGCCTCCTCGAGTATCAAACAACCAAACAATACAACATCTCATAGGAACGTACACACTCTTCCTTCCCTCGAACTACCGAACCAGTAATATATAGTCCCTATTTACCTACTTCGTTCAGCAAAGCAGTTCCAGTTCCAGTTCCAGTTGTAGTCCTGATAAAGACGGACTGACTTATGACTCACACAACCAAAAGCCGTGCAACCATTTCCACGAGGAGTAAGAAGCTTGTCGATTTTAATCTGACTTAGTACTACGTGTCCAGGTCGGGAGTGCAATACTTGGGTTTTGCTTGGGAAGCTTGTGCATTGTATGTGTTTCTTGGTTTGGTGGTTACTGTGTGATCGATTGTATCTGTATAGGGTTGGTAGGATATCTTGTGGTTTGGGTAGTTATCTAAATGGTTCTGCGTCTGGCTTTCCAATCATCTTTTCTCAAGTAGATAAGACTACTCATTAGTAGAGGTGTGTGCTAATTTGAATAAGCTATCTATTTATCTATAAGCACTCAGGTGTATATTTCTAGTACTTCTACCCGAGTCTACATACATAACAGCTACACCGTCATATTGTCACATCACCCACCCACGGACTATATAAACATAGTAATCCAATACATCAAGATGTAGTAGTGAGAAGACCCAGAGCCAAAATAGAACCCAACCTTCTTCCCATAAAATTATATACACACACACACACAATATAACCCGAGATTAGATCAAGATTAGATTAGACAAATTGATAGACAGAGAGAGAGAGAGAGAGAGATGGATTATTTTCTGTAACTGAAACCATGTTTCAAAATGATTAACGCTTAACACTTAAAACCATATATCAGGACTCTATAACCCAAAGAGTCTAATAAATCAGTCCCGAATCTAGAACGTCTATTCCAGTCTGATTTAAACTATATCCATGCATGACTGACATTGGCTTAATCCTCTGTACTTATCATGAGATAATATACATCATACAAGGATATTAATATAAAATCCTCAGCACAGACCCAACAAACCTATACACACAAACACATATACATATACATACACAACATATATAATTAATAAAAGCTCTGCCCGGAACACAAACAATTATACCAAGGAATAAAATAAGAATTATAATAAGAATCACCGTCTCCTCCCCGCACCCGCCATAGGCGCCGACGGGAAATTATACTCCTCACTCCAACTATCCTTAGCCGGTAAATAAAGTGCACAGTCCTTGAAGAGGTCTCGTATTGAGTGGATGAAGTTTGAGATGTGGGTTTTTAGGGACATTGTTTTCTTTTCTTCTTTTCTATTTTTTCTTCTTTCTTTTTTCTTGATTGGTTCCGATATGATGTGGTTTAACCTCCTGATTGATATAACCTGATCAGGTATCCGCTCCGAATATAAATCGACTCCTACACAAGAAATAGACGGTGAGCAACCCGAATCCGATTCATTGGATATAAATAAAAGGTTATGTAGGTAGATTAGGTACCTGAGTTCCCAGTTGAGTTGGGTAGATGTTGTCTCGCGGTTAGGCCTTATAATATGTACGCCTATGAATATGGTGGGTGCTACCTTGAGATAAAATCTCCGCTTTACTATCTGACGTTTAACGGTGAGGGTGAGGTTGACTCGTGAGTCAGATGGATGTGTATGTATGTATGTATGTGTTTCTTTGTTTGGGTATGTTTCCTTTGTCTCCTCTCTTTGGAAATTTCTGGATCTATTAATTAATTAAATAATTAATTCTTCTATTTTATGTCTTGTTTTCTTGTTTTTCGAACCTGTAAATTGGGTTGGAATATGGTAGGTGGTAGGACGTACAGTATTAGATATACCCACCCGTATCTTCAGGTACCGTGTTCGAGTTCAAACTCCCCCAGTCCAGTTGAAAAAATTCAAGTACGGAAGAGAATTCCCTTCCTGGGTAGAATGGTTACAGTGACAAGAGGTGCATGGCTGGTGACGTGTCGGTGAAGTCAGGACGGATTTGAATTAACTAAATTTATTCTTCTCTTGAATAAGTTCGGGCCGGACCGAGATCGGGGAAATGGAAGAAGGACTCAGTACTCAGGAGTAGTAGTAGTAGTAGTAGTAGTAGTAGTAGTAGTAGTAGTAGTAGTAGTAGTAGTAGTATATAGTACGAACTGCTATCATCCATGGTTCATCACCTGGTGTAACCCGCTACCATAGAGATATGAACCGTGAGATTCCCAATTGAGTACTACTACAAATGCCTAGGCTCTCTTGGCTGTCTTTAACTTTGTGCCAAGTGATGGAGTCACAATTTGCTTATCTCAGATTCTACGGAGGACTATACTACAGACAAGGAGGACCCGATTCAAAACTTTCATTAATTTAGATTCGACTTTCAAGGCTAGTCTGAAAGCAATTAGAAAACACCGCTATACTACTATAACGCTATACCGATAAAAACAACATGGGACATCCAAACTTCAAGCCATATCATATGTCCAAGCCCTAGCGACCTTTACGGTACCACTCCGCCTCGGGTTCACCCAGGCATTCTCCGACGGTAGTCACTGTGTCTGTTAGCTTTCTATCCTATTACCCCAGAGAGGAAAAGAAAGACATACTCCTGAACCCTCTCGCCTTGATCTCTTCCATCATCCGCCGAGCGAGACTAACCACCGTCTGCTCATGGATATCATGAGCCAACACAATGCTGCCACCGGCATTCAACTCATTAACGAATTTCTCATAGCTGCGGTCAATCCGCGTGACATCATTATTCTCGTAATCCTTAGTATCGATACTAGATTCGATAACCTTGTAGCCCAGTTCGTTCATAGCCGCAAGCACTTGTTCGTTGACTTCAAAATACGGCGGCCGCATGTAGGTAGGAATATCACCCATGGCAGACTGCAGAATGACCTCGAGCTTCGTCATCTGTTGCACGATTTGCTCGTAGCTTTGGGATGGGAGGCTGGCATGCTCCAATCTGCAGGGGTCAGTTCTCTTCGGAACAAAAAGCCTGGGCGCTCCGGTTGGGGAGGGGGGGGGGAGGGGTTTACGTACGTGTGTGATCCGACCTGGTGGCCTTCGCTCCTCATGCGCCTGATGGTATCGGGATATGCCTGGCTGCCTTCACCGATCATGAAAAAGGTGGCCTTGGCTCCGTACTCCTGCAGCAGGTCGAGCAATTGCGGGGTGTAGCCCGAAGGACCGTCGTCAAAGGTCAGGGCAATGGTGTTCGGAGTGGTGCAGCTCCTGATGATCTGCCCGGTAGGGACGGTGGTGACCGCATTATCCAAAGGTGCGGACAGGACATGGGGGGTAAGAGTCATAAGAAGTGAAAGAGTGAAGAATTTATACATCTTGTATATATGTGCGTTTTAAGACGGGCGCGGTATAAATGGAGCGTATAGTGAGAGTGATCACGGCAATGTCCCGGGAAACAATAGTGAAAAGTGAACAGCGAAGATGAGAGAGAAAAAGATATATACGAAGCGAAGGCAAGTGATTGTTGTGCAAGAAGAGGCAGGAAAGCAGTCAGTCGATGCTGCTTAAATAGTCTAATTCATCTGGGACCATGCAAAGACTCATGATATCCAAACAAGAACAACAACTGTGAATATCCTGGTAGCGCTCTAGAGGAGGTTACACATTGCCATAAAAAGGACCGGCTTGTAGAAGCAAATATTCGATATATCCCAGTACTTATCTCTCCAGAGGGAACCCGACCTGATATAGTGTGAGCATTGACTTCACATGATAGCTCTAGATGCACCAGGCGACCACCTCATTGGTCAGGGTTCGGAGATTGAGCTTTCATATCGATCGACACCTGTAGGTGGTCATAATCTTCCGGTACGTATATTTTGAATGCAAGGAGAGCTGGGTGGCTGGAGCAGCAGCCAGAAAGAGTGACCCGAACCCTTGTTTATATAACCCTAATATCCCTGTCGTTAGATATTCGCTTTGACCCAACACTCAAATTTCGAATAATCCATTGGCTACGAGGATATACGTATTTATAAAAAATAAACAAAGAAAGAAAGAAAGAAAGAAAGAAAGAAAGAAAGAAGGTAGTCGGCGACTCTCAAATCCCGCAACATCCTAGCACGGGTTCTGCGAAGCAGTTGGTGTGTGTTGGCCGTGATCTTATTGCTGAAGTCAAATAGCACGCTATTGAAACCCAACGTGGAAGGGGGCACATCCCCATGGGTTGCCCAGTGCCTCGAAGCTACCTAATGATTATTCTTAGACACTCGTCGCAAGGTATAAACCACCTGATAGACACGGAAAGGGATTCCCAATTACGCTATAGAATCATACTGTTCCAGGACAGTCTGATAGTCAAAAGTCTGTGTGGCGTCTTGCAAGCAATATCCCTTTCGCTCTGGCTGGCCTCATCCCTGTGCTCAAATGGTAAAAGATTGAGAATCAGCACATGGGGCGCTGTCAACCTGGAGATGGAGAACTCGGAAAATGGTATCATGCAAGGCTGTATCATCACAATAAAGCTATTAACGTCCAATTTCCTTCATCTCTCAGCACCTCATAAGAATTAAGTACGAATACATGGTACACGAAGTTATGAAACTATAGCAACGGAGATCCAATCACTTTTCTCCAATTATTTCCTCTCCTTCCCGATCTCTCACCGTGGGAGATTACCCTCTCTTGCTGTACTTCTTCATGGACCGCTTCTGGCCCCGCTCACGCTCACGCTCAAGGAACTTCCGCTGCTCCTCAGCGTTCATGCCACGCAGAATGCGTTCCCGCTCCTCCTTCTTAATCTTTTCAGCTGCCAGCTTGCGTTCCTCGGCCTTCTCCTCCTCGTCCGCACGACGGAGCTTCTTAATCTCCTCCTCACGTGCGTGGCGGACCTTGCGCATCACCTCGGCGCGGAAGTGAGCCACGGCGACGAGCCTGTCAGCGAAACGGAGGAATTGGTTGAATAGTGGAATGGAAGAAGCGTAGCCGGAAGTGGATGAGGGCAGGGACAAGCAGATATGAACACGTTTGCGAGGGACAGTCTCCTCGATCCTATTGAAAAAGGTTAGATATATCGCAAGGATGTTCTTTCAAGGGAACTCACTTTTGAGGCTTATCAACAGGCTGGTCAGTGACAATAAGGTACTTGAAATCATCGCCGGCCTTCTCAACAGCCTGGATCAATTCCGGGGTAAGCAGCGTTTCGGTGATCTCGGCACTTTCTGTCATGACGGTCACCCAAGGTGGAAGCTTCGGGTTCTCCTTGGTGAAAGTCATAGAAGCATCGTAGCGGTCCTGGCGGAACTGACGCATGTAGTTCTTGTGCACAATGGCCCAGATAAATCCATCGTAGGTCGAGTTGTTCACCTTGAGAGAAGAGGTGTCCTTAGCCGGGACCGGGACGACATCCTTCTCCTTGCCATCAAAAGTGTACGCAGTCGCTTCGTAGGTCTCCGTGGGGCTAGTCCAGCTCTCAAACAAGAAACCGAAGACAACGTCCATCCAGTACGTGATCGGGTTGTACCGCTTAGGCAACTTGATAGCGACGTCAACAAAGGCCACGTTCTGGCGGCCAGTGGCGTAAGAGACGAATTCCTGAGCAGACTTCTCCTTTATGATCGAATCAGGGGAGGACAGCACCGCGGCGGCCTCATCCTCGGACCTTTGGATGCCATTGAAACCGACGACCGCGAACTCATTCTGGAGAGAGGGCGCATGAGCTTGGGCCCATTCCCGAGCCTTGCGACGGTTCTTCCGCGTGCCCCAGAGGTGGAAGACTACAATTAGAAGGATGAATGGCATGACCATTGCCTCCTGGAGGAAGTCTTTGGGGGATGTCCGCTCCCAGACTCGGTACCATTTCGTATACGGAACGGCGCTGACACCCGGGGTACTCGACGCAGGAACACCAGAGGAGACAGCTGCTATGATCGAGGCAGGAGAAGGCTCTGGTGCTTTCACAAAGTCCGCAAAGTCTGATGGTCATGACGACAACGGTCAGTCAGAAGTCCAACCCCAACAGGGGCAACCAATACCCCAACTCAATTCGATTACATCTAGACTTACCATCCTCAACCTTTGCTGACCCCGACGGCTGGGAGCCGCCAAACATGTTCTTGAACATGCCCGCCATGATGTGGAAGGAAGGGAGAAGAGTGAGCACTGGCGAGTTCGGGCTGTCAAGAAGATGGCGACGTGGCGGAGAAGGAGGAGGGAAAGGGAACGGGAAGGTTGTCGGCTCGAATTGACGTTCGTCGCAAAAGCGATCGGGGCGAAAGTTCACTTAGTCTGTGGAGCCGAAGTCTGGGCATTTTGACATAATTTCTTGCCGGCCAAACCTGAGAGATAAGGCCAACGATGGCTCCCCCAATCTAGCCTAGTCTACGGTACGGATCAGGTAATGAGCTCAAATCTCAGTCTCGGGTGCAAATTCGCATTCAATCAAAACTGCCGAGTCAATGGAAACATTCTGTGCAGATGCAGTATACTCAAACTCAAGAAAATCAAGAAACAAAAGCCAGATAACTCTTTCGATCCACTTCCCAATCCATATACCCAGATCCGGTCCAAACCCACATATAGAATACACAATAACAGAAAGAGCGAAGTGGTATCCTGCACAGACAAGCAGATAGGTAACTCTCACAAAAATAACAGGAACGCCAGCACTTTTGGTACAAACAAAACTATCTAAACTCGCTCCAAAGAGAGTAAAACAAAGACAATATATAAAAAAGAACACAAAAAGTACAAGTCAGGCTGCCAAATTAAAATGTTATATCGTATCAGTCATTAATACCGCCAGACTCGCTGGGGAACAAAGGAAAGTGGAATGAATGTGAGGAACTCTTGAATGCAATCAAGAAGCGCTTGGGCGTATATGGCTCACTGGCCATAGGCTGGTGGGGGATATTCTTCATGGTCAGGACGGCCCCAGAACGCACCACCACAAGAGCTGGTGGGCATCAGTTTCTCGTCTCGCATGCGACGAGCAATTTCCCCTGCTAGCCGCTCAACCAGGGCTTGATCAACTGTGCTGGGGCTGGACTTCTCGTCGGTGAATGGAAGGATAGTCGAAGGCAGCTGGCGTGAGGGACCAGTCTCCTGTTTCTCATTGTCACGTCGGGCGGTAACGTGAGCGCGGATACTGCCTCGGGGAGTCGCATCCATATCTCCGGATTCAGGGCGGTGTCGAAGAGGCTCGGCAGACGGCCCTCCAGTTTCGCGGAGCATCTCTGTGGCGATATCGCGACGAGGTACTGGCCGCGAGAGACTGGCGCGACGCCGTTCGGGAATTGCAGGAAGACGGAAATCGCTTTCCGGAGACAAGGGTGGCGTGATGGGGTCAGGCTGTTCGTTGACCACGGGCAGGGGTGCCGAGCATACGGAGGGGTTGCTAGCCGTCTCTGTGTATGCACTTTCGTCGCTCACACTCGCCGTATCATCCGTAGCCTTCGGACGTCGTAGATCCACCACGCGCTTCTTGCGCTTCCTTGAATGTGCTTTCGAATGGCGACCAGCTCCCAAGTTCAAACCGTAGCCACTAAACGTATGTGTCGAAGCTGACGATCGACTCTGGGACGATACGATGCTGGCGCTATCCTGGAAGGACGACATGTTGCCAATCTGAGAATGGGTCCTGGAGAGCATGGGGCTCAACGGAGACGTAGCATTGCCGTTCGGGTCCCCTTGTTCAGAAGGCGAAGTCCATGCCCGATAAACTACTTCCTGGATGGAGGGAGTGAAAAGAGATAGCGTTCGTTGAGAATCCGTAAGTGCAGCCAGCCGGAGGAGGTTCTTCTGTGAAAACAGGGAATGCGCTTCGACGGAGGAATCCAATGAGAGTGATGCGATTTCCGATTCATCCAAAGCATTGCCCAATGAGTCTACTGGATCCTGCGGAGGGCTTGCCAACGGATCTTGACCAGGACCTTCACCCGCCGTTTGCTCCGGCTGAGCTGGTATATCCTCGCCCGCCCTGTACTCAGGAACCCACAGTCGCAGGGATAGTCGATGGATGATGGCGGGCAGTTCGTCCATGAACAAGATACGCAGTTGAGCCTCGATTTCCCTTTGCAAGAAGTCGCGGACGAACGGGATCGAATCAAACGTAGATGAAACTTTAAGCGATTCAAGCGGATCATTTCGAAAAACCACGGTAATTCCTTTCTGTTTCGAGAAGACGAGAATCACAAAGCCGGACAACTTAAAATCGGATAGTGTAATCTGAAGGGGAATTGTGAGGGGAGTTCTAGATTATCAAGCATGACTGGTGAGCGACATCGGCCAGGGAGTGCGATCGAAGCATCAACTTACGCTGCAGCCAACGGTAGCGGCGACGCAAAAGAGGGTCGTGTGAGAAGATAGGTATTGAGAGGGTTTGCCTGAACGCGCGTTTTCAGAGTCAGGAAGGCATCGCCAGTGTAGGACATCTTGAAGATGCCTCGAAATCGATCCTCCGCCAAATCACCAATCTCTAATATTTCCAGATCTGGCGGGATGGAACCCAAGTTCAGCTCGGTTACGATGATATCGTCGACGATGATCGGGGGTTTCGGCGATTTATTCAAAGCGGCAGTTAAGAGATCTTGAGCGCGAGTATAGAAACTCGCGTCCGCCATCAGTGGCGACCAGTTGAAGTTGAACGCCATATCCGATCATTGAGAAAGGATGGGTTGACACAGGAAGGCCCACAGCGTCCAAAGGGAAGGATAATATACAAAAGAAATTAAAAGGTAATCGATAACATGGGGAAAAGGGGGAGAGAGGGAGAGAAGAGGAGAGGGAGGCGAGGTCGGAGAGAAGTGGTGGAGAGGGGAGCAGGTGTTAGCGATGATAAGCCGGAAGTGAAGGGAAAAAGCGAAGAAAAAAAGGGTTGGATTGGATGAAAAGCTCTAGAGGATTCCCGAGGGTCTCCCACAGGGTATGGACTCGCGTGATCTACGCGACGCACGAGCACTCTTGGACGGTTTAGGAAACTTATTTTATGTTATTGCTTTTGTCTTAAGTAAAAATTATAAATAATCGCTATTCTTCTATCTTTTACTAAACGTTTTGATATTAAAAGTCTTGAAAGGTTGTATTTCTCGAAAAGTCAAGTTCTAGTGTTCCTCAAAGGCGGAACGGAAGAAAAAAAAACGAAAAAGGAAAAGCAAAAAAGGCCCAAGGGGAAAGAAATTGTGGAAATTTCCAAATATACGTCACACTGCGCATCTGACTTCATTTAGGTCTGGAACCAACGATTCAAATTGATATGACAAGTTCCCATCCATACTTTCTATGGTATACTTTCCGATCCCCTCCGACCGTAATTTATGAACACTTGCAACAACTTATACAATAGTAATACTTATTAAATACCAGAGTCCATGCCGCACGATCTTCATTAGCTCACTCGTACCGACTAATGCTCCAACCCATTTCATTCCGCCCCTCGGCATTTACATCTCTTCTGACTGGACCTTTCTGTCAGCCACAGCATTTCTGTTTACTGACCCGGCATCTAGCGGGCCAAAAACAGCATCATCCATGTCGATCAGTTTGAATATCGCCTCCTGAATATGACATGACTCAGAACATCTACAATTTTCATGATCTTCAACTATTCCCTTTTGGCACAAGGTGTTAATTTACCCTCTGAATACTTACCCCGTGGGTACCAATATACGGTAGACCAGCCACCTCACTGCCAGTGATCGCACCGGATTGGGGTCTAGACTGTCACGGACGTTGAAGAAGAAGAATAATAATACTAATAACAGTAATAATAATAATAAATAAATAAATAACATTAAAAACAAATGCTTTTTATTGGGCTCCATGGGATACTCTATCACAGTGGAAGCATTACAATCTACGAAGTAGTACACGGGGAAAAAAAAATATAAATCTTCAAACATGAGGACAAGATATTCGACGGATGCAATATCAGCTCTCAAACATCCGGCTATGCTTGTCTCTCACCTTGTAACATACTGCGACGCAAAGAATCTCTCTCCCCGCTCTTGTCGACTAAGGTCCAGAACGGGCCCCCTTCATTTCTCAGTAAAGCAGCCGGTGTATCAAACTCGGCTATCCTCCCCTCCCCTAAGACCATGATCCGGTCAAAGTCCACGACAGTAGACAGTCGGTGGGCAATGACCATGAGAGTAGAGTCACAGAATTCTTGACGAATAGTCTGCTGGATCAGCGCATCCGTGCTCATATCAATGGAAGAAGTCGCCTCGTCCATTATGAGGATCTTCGGGCGGGATAGCAAGGCCTGAGCTAGACACACTAATTGACGTTGGCCCTGGGACAAGTTCTTGCCTCGCTCGGAGATTGGCGAGGAAAGAGATAAGGCGGCGTTATTACAATCTTCATCTGTTCCTTCTAGCTCTGAGTTTTGTCCATCGTCCGTAGAGGATCTGAGATGGACTTTCGCTAAAACGGCGAGGAGCTCAGAGTCTGTGTACTGGTCAAACGGATCGAGGACCGATCGGAGAGTTCCCGAGAAGATAACGGGGTCCTGTGGGATAATTGCTATCTTCGAGCGGAGGGCACGGAGTCTCAGTTTAGAGATATCCATTCCATCAATGTGTAAAGATCCGGACCGTGCCTCGAGGAAGCGCAGAAGTGCGAGTGTCAATGACGATTTGCCAGAACCAGTACGTCCGACGATGCCGATGTGCTCGTTAGATTTTATTAAGAAGCTCAACCCCCGTAGAACCGGTGACAATTCCGGTGCGTATCCAACGACAAGGTCATTTGCCTCAATCTCGCCTTTTGTAGGCCATCCAGCTGGAGCATCCATGCCATCTTGGTGCTCACTCTCGATCTGGGTGTATTCAACAATACGTTCGACGGCATTGAAGTCCAGCTCGATCTCGGCGTATTCCGACAGTACCCAAGCGACGACCTCAGACATCTGTAAAGCGAAACTGAGAGCAAACCCTGCCACAGACGCATCGACGCCCCTAATGGTTGCGATCAGCGCTGCTGTCATAGTTACATACTAGATCAAGAAATGCATGTTAGTACTCAACCTGTACGGTGCAACTAGAGACTAAGGACTAAGGGCAAACTGACCAAAGCCCCGATCATGTTCAGCCGGAACATCATCCAACAGTTGAAGAGACGCAGATGCCAAAGAGCCTGGCAATGCGCGTCCATCGTATTATACATGCGATGCATATATTGACCAACTTTATCAAAAGCTCTGATCGTCACTAGACCGTCAATGATCGATCCAAACTGCTCGAAAATAGGAGACCTGGCATTGCTCTCTATCCTTTTAGCATCTCTAGCCGCTGTGACATACAGCGAGGCGATATACCAAGACAGAAAGAGCGAGATGAATCCAAAGCCCACCATAAGCGGCGATATAAACAGTGCTGCGATGATAACACTAAGAAGCATTAAAACACCATGCAGCATATTGGGCAGGTCCAGTGCCAGATCAGAATCTAGCGTGCTGAAGTCGGCACTGAAGCGGTTGAGGATCTGACCCACGGGCGTTGTGTCTAAAAAGCTTAGAGGGGCGTGTAAGACTCTGAGCAAAAACTTTTCGAAAATAGCAAGTGACCCTCGAATCGATGCCATAAAGACGAGCTGGTAGCGAAGAATCTCAGTCAAGATTGACATAAGGAAAAGACCGATGTACACGCCTAGGTAAAGCCAGAGACGGTTACCAGCAGACTGTCGATCTGAACGCGCAGAAAGGCCGTCCGAGACCGACTGAATACTCACTTCGATATCAGGCTGTGTGTTCGCAAGATCTCTTGTCCAAACAGACACCCAATATGGTATTGCCAATTCCGCGACAAGGGTAAAGCCAAAACTTAGCGCAATTGGAATCCAATACAGGTAGCCGCCGCAAGCCTGCATATATATGCTATAAATTGACAGCTTCACAGCGCCTGTCGCTCGTGTCTCAGCCTCGTAGAAAGCCTTGCCCTTGATATCCCCTTCGGATGGATTCTGCTGCGGTGCGGTCAGGCTATTAGATACAGGGACTGGTATATGACCCTGCTGCGCAGCAGAGTCAGCATTATCGATACGTTGGTTAGAGTCAGCGTTACTAGAGCTTAAGTCAGGGCAGTAATTCTCAGGCTTGCCAGCAAAAGAAACACGCCCATTCTCGAGTACTACGTAATACTTCATCTCACTCCAACACAGAGTAATATGATGCGTAGCCACGATCCGCGTTCTTCCTTTTGCTAAGGTCCCTGTTAAAGCTTTCTCGAAGAGATGGTGGCCGACGCGAGCATCCACCGCGCTGAAAATATCATCAAGGACAAGGACTCCGGCAGGACTGTAAAGAGCTCTGGCTAGAGCAACACGCCATTTTTGGCCGCCGCTTAGATTGACGCCGTTAGCACCAAGATCAGTTTGGTCCCCATCTTTCATAGAATTCAAGTCATCTTCAAGACAACATGCGTGCAGAACATTGCGATACCGTTCCGAATTCAGTGGGAGGCCGAACAGAATGTTTTCCCGAACAGTTCCATTCTCGATCCAAGGATTCTGCGGAACGAACGCAATTGATGTATCGATTGACCATTCGTTGCTCGGCCCATTATAGGCAAGTGGTGATTGTCTCTGTGGAAAGAAGATCTGACCTTCAAGCAGATCTGCCTCGCCGATCGTCGCCAACAGCAGTAAGCTCTTCCCAGCACCTGCTGGACCAGAAATCACGGTGAGCTCTCCACGAGGGAATTGCAAACTGATATTGCGCATCTTGAAATCACTATTTTCCTCGTCCATAGTGTTAGAAGGCCAGGAGATCGTTGTCTGCGAAAAGGCAATTGCTTCACCGTCTCTGTGGCAGTTATTGTGTTCCGGTAAGTCAAGGTATTGCTCAATGCGTCGCGCGGCCACCTTGGCATTCATTAAGTCACTGATTGTTTCTGGGAAATTGGAAAGTGTAGCTGACAAGCTTTGAAAGATAGAGAGGGCCGTGAAGGCAATGGAGGGAGAGAGATTCTTGTTGACCATGAAATACGTTGCTAGTGCAATCAAGCTCATGCAAATGGGACCACAAGACCACACGGCAATCAGTGCGAGGTCGAACTGGAAAACCCGTCCTTGTCTCTTGATCTCGTTGGAACGTAGAGTCTGCACCTTTCTGTTCCATTGATCTTCTTGGGCATCAAATTTAATCTGGCGAATGCCCTGTAGCATCTCGGATAAGACAGCCATCCTTCGATCGCTTGCTGTCATGAGCGCATCCTCTGCTTTGCTGTATTGTTGGGCCAGAACATAATTCACCGGGCTCAATATCGCTGGGACCGTGCAAGCCCACAGTACCGGCATCCAGCCCAGAAGGTTTGTAAGGAAGGCGATAGCAAGAATGAATTGGATAATGGCGTCTAGGAGGGTATGGCTGAATTTTACAAAAGTTGCAATTGTCACAGCATCGACCCCTAGAAGGTTAGTCATGGATTGTTTCGTTTTTGGTGGGCCAACCTCGCCGTCGTCGTCGTCGTCGTCGTCTTCATCAGCACTGCACTCGCTGGATGATGCTTTGCTCTCAGAGCAATCATGTGAATTCACATTCACAACTTCCTTTATCCTAAGTGCCTTGCTGAAAATAGCTGCAGATAGCTGCTCTCGGATTGGCAGTTCCAGCTCCATAGATACCACCCATTGCAGCAATGACTCCAGCCAAGATGATATAAAAAGGGATCCACCGAGACCGACCGTTGTAATCCACAGTTGTTTCTGATTATCTGCTTGAGCATCACGCTCTTCGAGCAAACGAAGGGTAAGGAACAACAAGGCTTGAGGGAGGAAATGTGCCACAGCAGTAAGCAGTTGGACGGCGACTTGAGCAATCCAGGCTGTCCGGTGAATATTTAATAATTTTCTCCATATCTTGGGGTGGGTGCAAGATAGCCAACGACCATACAAGGTTTGTGTACGCACCCCATAGCCGATTGCAGGGAAGTCTTCGGGTTCCAGCTGTTTGTTCCGCGCGGCTTTCGACAGAATCGGCACTGGCCACGAGAATGTGTATCTGCTGAGGAAGGAAACGGTGCGTTGACGATCGACTGGCTTGCACCCTAAATATACTTCTGGTCGACGAGAAAAAGTAACGTTGGTGAAAGATAGGATTATTCCCGCAGTAAATTTGACAGCAGCTACGGAAATCCTCGGCCCTGATGCATTCGGGTTGGTCCATAAACCATCCAGAAATACTCCTGCGATGCTGAGCAGAAGAGCAGAAACGGCACTCCAGATCCCTAGGTCGTACTTCTCCTGGGGTAAGGTGCGGGAGATGACAATACATTCTTGAACCAGCAGCAGGGCCTGGGAGTGTTAATATACCAATATGGACATGGTAGAGTTCATCGTACCCAAGCGGAGAACTGTAGCCATTGTTCAATCTCTCGTGGTGAGCCATTATGGCCGGTCACATTTAGGGACGACAACAGTGCAGTCAACACAGCAACAACTGCCGTGATGGATAGAATAACCTTCTGGATAGTATCCGAGGTTCCTTTCTCCGACTGATCCGTTGCTATTCCATCTTCGTCTTCATAGCCACTTATCAGGCTATACCTTTGCCTATCAGTAATTGAAAGCTGCTTGAAGACGTGGCGAATATGTGGGATGGTCAGGGCTAAGATGACGGCTGGGCACAAGACAGCCTCGAAGAAGGAGGCGTCGAGCGAATGGTCCATCATAGCAAATGTAATAGCAAGAAACCGCTTTCCGTCCCTTCATATGTTGTAGGTCCACAATGATAATAAATGCCGAGTGATAATCCTGCTGCCTGATTCTGGTTACGTGCAGGAAGACTCAAGATGAGTCTTCATGACTCAAACAAGAGACTCCATACTGAATGTAAGCAACTTGACTTCTTCAGGCCTCCAAGTGAGTGGTAATTAATTCGATCAGAATTAAGAACCCTTTGCCGTTGACCTCATTTGGAGTCTAGGGGCCAGTTAGCATTAGCACACAGGAGTAAGCTAGAGGAATTTCCTAAAGCGGTTCCCGACAACCTGCCTGGATTTTCAGGGTCCACGGGCCAGACTTGAATCCTACTCCAGCCTGTCGTCGATCTCTCTGAGGCTGAAGTTTAATTTCTTCCAAATCAAGCCAAGAAAGGGAAAAGGAGCTTATACATATCACATTAACTTCAAACTTTAATTACAACGAGGTGGTTTATGGATGCCATGTAGGTTTTGAGCACACTGTATATCAGTGGTAATATATATCGTCTACTCTGTAGGTCAGTTCCCCTTCTGTATTGCCCCTTGGGCTTTGAGCGGACAACGTATCCTTGACAGCTTAAGCTAAAGAGAATGAGTAATTACTATGTGAAGCGGGGGTTTCACACCAAATTCCGTTCGTTGACTCTTTTGACGGACCAGTTGTACAGCTAAATGGTCTCATTCATTGCTGCAGGGAGCCTCACTGGTGCCTTAACTGCCTTGGATGACCGGGTGGATGCTGTTAATCAGTGATGATTGGTTGAACCAAAGCTTCATTACATAATGCCGCTTTCACCAGAGCAACTGACAGGCTAGTCCCTTTACGGAAATAGATCAATAGGCCCTCCGCCACCCCTAATGAAGCTGTTTTGAACGATTACTGTCTCGATTGGGACCTGAAGAATAGAATCAACGCTTCACAGGTTGATTTCAACTTACCAGACAGCAATGTCGTCGACTTTTTCGCCCGCCTTTACAGGCGATCGTACACCAAAACCGAGGACCAAGACACGCACTGCTGCGCCGAAACGAGTATACGGAAAGCGAAGAGCGGATGCCCCACGAGCTGTGTTCGAACAGAGAAGCCCGGCAAAACTGGTAGAGGAGACAACTTCGAAGGTCGTTGAGGAAGCCGTGGATCGCATCCAAGTTCAGCTAGCTGAGGTTAAATTAAGCGAAGCGACCCCATCTCAGAAAAACGAAGACAAAACCGACGACCCAATTATCCCCGTTCAGCAAAAAGGCCGTACTCAATCTGCATCGCCAGTGAATACACCCGAGGTCGTGTCAACTAAATTGCAAGATGACGAAGAGCCTACCGGGGAGAGCCCTCCGGACAGTGTTCCTAGACCACGGAAGAAATACGAGACGATGGTGGAAGTCAGAATCTGCTCGAGAACCGTAGCGCCAAAACCCCAAGAAGAACACGAGAAACAAGAGCAACATGGGGATCAAAAAGGACAAGAAGAGAATAAATGCAGCGCAGAAAGTGAGAGGCAGGGCGAGACACGAGCAAGGAGGAACAAAGTCCAGCCTCGTTTGTCATCTGGGTGTGTGATGGATGATAAAGTGAATGCATACGTTCGTCGCATCTTGAACGAGGCCTTATCGCCGGTTGCGGCACAGGGCGTCCAAAAATTTAGCTCCTGGGCTGCTCGTGCCGGAAATTTGCTGGAGGTAGTGAAGATTGCAGAAGGTTCGTACGGAGAGGTTTATAAGCTCCGTCTGCGCGAAGAGATGTGCAAGAAGGAAATGTCTAGATCCAAGCTTGCTCGCCTAAAAGCATACGGTGACAATGTGTTCAAAGTTGTACCTTTACGCGCTCAGAGTGGACCTGGCTCGAAAAAGTTTACCAGCATCGAAGAAATCGTGTCTGAAGTCAAGATGCTCAAATATTTGGACCCAATCCCCGGATTTGCTCGCTTTCGAGAGATCCATGTGGTCCAAGGTCGATTCCCAGAGTCCTTCCAGAATGCTTGGGACCACTACAAGAAGACCAAAGATGACTGTTTGAATCCTAATCCGTCCAGTAAGAGAGCGTACCCTGATTCACAGTTGTGGGCTATCGTGGAAATGGACGATGCTGGCTGTGAGCTTGAAAAGTTTGCTTGGTCATCGACTTTCCAGATTTACGATATCTTTTGGGGAGTCGCAATGGCTCTCGCCCGTGCCGAAGAGTATGCGCAATTTGAGGTAAGCCTCAATATAAGAAGCCTTGGAGACCGATTAGCATTGACACGTATCTAGCATCGAGATCTCCATCTTGGAAATGTGTGTATTAGAAGCACTCGGCTAGATGGCTGTATGAACCCTCCGACAGACCTCGAAGTTATGAGTCAATCATACTCCAGCGGATTTGGCTTGAGCACCCTAGAGACTACGATTATTGACTATTCACTTTCTCGCGCGGAGCTGCGCGTTGAGGAGTCAGGAGAGGTTGTCGAAGTAGCATCGTCGGATCTCGATAAGAAACAGATCTTCGATGCTATTGGGCGGGATGAGGATGAAGCCATGCTGAGAGATACTTACAGATAGTGAGTGTCACCTGATAGATAGGAGGCTCCAAAAAAAAAAAATGTCCGCTAACGCCCAACAGTATGCGTGCTCAGCTCTACAACGGAAACCCTCTCGAAACAGAGAAGACGCCCGATGTTCCCGGCATCTGGGCCGATTATGCGCCACGTACTAACCTCGTCTGGCTTCTCTTTCTGCTTAAGACTTTGCTCAAGAACAGGAAGCCGGAGGTTTCGCTTCCGGCACCACGACAGCCACTCGCACAGTGCTCGCCTAACAAGGGACTCAAGAAACAAACAGCCAAATCGGCAAAAAAGGACAAAGTCAATACAATTAAGAGCCCAGAAGATACGCAGAAGCCAGTTTCCGAACTGAAAACAACACTTGAGGATAGACTACATGCTGTTCTGGACCTTCTTCATCTTGAGCACGGACATGAGGACATGTGCTGTGCTGCCGACTTGGTAGCCTATGCGATTGACTCTCAGTGGCTGGATGAGAAAGACTTTTTCTGACTTTAATCTGTGCATAATGGAGGCGTCAAGTGATTCAGTTTTTATTTTTGGTGATACCGGGGACATATATAGACGGCTTAGCATGGCGTTTACTGGGAATGTTGATCTTTACAATACCAATTGCATTGTTTTCACAAGGAATAGCAGAAGATTTTAAGTACATATTCCCATTTCAAGTGCTCGGTCAGAATATGACGAAGTTTTAGCAATTCCCCCCCCCCCCCTCCTGGCTTCCCCTCCATATCAGAAACTCTCTAATACTGAAGTATGCATGACACGGCATCGGAACAGAAAGCCACCCCGACCCCACGGTACTATCACCGATATCCAAAAAACCCCCAGGGCACTCCAGAATACCTCCAATAACCAAAACACCAACAACAATGACCTCCAAATTCGAAAAACTCCTCATTAACCTAGGCAAACCAACCTGGGCCCAACACATCCGCCACGTCCAACACGCGCACGGCCCCCAAAAAACCAAAACCGACCCAGACTGGGCCAAAGACATAATCACGATGGACACTCAATTACGGGAGATCGGGCAACGCGAGATCTACCTCCGTGAGGAAATAAAAGTGCTGACCTCAGCCGACCAGCAGCCACAAACGTCCGAGCAACGCGCACAGCTGGCCAAATGGCAAATGGAGCTCGAGGACCTGGCGAGGAAGTACTGGCATCTGGAGCGGGAGTTTTACCGGCGGGAGGCGTCTGTTTCACCTGGGCCGTTGCAGAGGGCGTATGCTACCTGGAGGAGTAATCCGGAGTGGTATCTGTTGGGGCATTTGAGGGATGATTGTGCGGGGAGAGGAGGGTGTTGTGGGAGGAGTTGTGGGTGTTGTGAAAGGGCGAGGGATACGGAGAAGAGGATTCGGTTGGGGCATTGTACGATTGAGTGTGGATGTTGTCGGAGGGCGAGGGGGTTTGATTTGAATCATGAAGATCGGGTGAGGTATCAGAAGTTGTTTGATTGTGATTTGAAGGAGAATGAGGCGTTGTGGGATTCGTTGAAGTTGGCTTATGTTTTTGGGTTGGTTTGATGCTTAGTTAGGGCTTGAGTGTTGTGTTGTATATCTCGGTGGGACGTGACAGCCTGCGGCGCAGAATAATGATGCTGTGATTTGAGCACCGGGAGATGGTAGGTCACACTGTTGGAGTTAATCCTGTGATCTTATGAATTTGGTCTTACAAAACAGGCACATACCGTTACAAAGCTCCAAAGTAGTGTTTTGTATTCTACCTAGAGAGATGCTAGAGACTAAGGCCATGAGCTCCAGCTCCACGCTGTTCGGTCTCATTCAGTAGATTTGAAGCTTTAGGATCAGCACCACTTGTTCCTTGCCGTATCGTGGTGGAAGAATGGCCGCCTAACACATGTTACAATACAAACACAAGACACTATGAGTTGTTCTATTGTTGCAGTCTAATGCTGTACTAGCCCTTTCTATAATATCTACGTGTAGGCCGCTAAATGTCATGGCCCGCAGACTGGGTGAACGAGAAACTAAATGCAGGTATCCAAGATCACACACTGGAAAGAAAGAAGCTCAACAGACTGCCAGCAGCTAAGCCTCCTACCAGCATTAAGCTCATAAAACCACCCGCTGACTCGCGATCCTCCTCAGGAACCCATTGACCAGCACCCATCATACAGCTGCTTCCAATATAACCATTGCTAATGCCGAAAAGCAATTGCACAACGAATAGATAGAAGAAATCGCTCTTCACAACGGCCTCCCGACCGCGTATGTTACATAGAAGATAAAGGGGGAGGAATCCAATGCGAGCAATTGCAAAGATAAACAAAGCAAAAGGCCGGTGGGTTAATGATAATTGGGGAATAAGGACTGACATCCTTCCAGCCAAGTCGCCGACATTCCAGAATAAGAACGCCAGCGGGATGAAAACAGCTGGTTGGAATAAACGGGAACTACCCTGAGGGTCCCGAACTGACTCAATTTTTGCCGTGAAGACAGGAAACATCATAGTGACAGCAAAACAGAGAAAAAGTGCAAGAGCCATGAAAGGAAGCTTTTTGAAAAGACCCCAGAGGCTGACAGTCTTGCGATCCGTGTGGTCAGAAGCAGCGTCAGGTGAACTCGGCGCGATTTCGTACACAGTGTTCGACCGTCGCTTAGCAAGGGACCCGAAGGCAACCAGTGCCGATAGAGATACAAATGTGGAAGTTATGAAGTACAAGAATGCCGATTTGGACGACTCTTGTGGGACTTTCTGTTCCCCTGTTTGCTCTGGGACCGCTAAAACAGAGAGTATCTGCACGATGCAGGGCAGGACGCCTGCTAGGCCTTGACCTGCCATAATGGCTTGAGTATATTCTGGCCTTCCAAAACCGGAGACATATGCAAAAACGCCGACCTGATTCATCCCAGCCGCCAAACTGGTTCCGAATACCATAAGCATTAGGAAGCTAAAATATAGTCCAATGGAAGCATTCTTTAGAAGACCGGTAGATAGTGCGAGCAATGTGAAGATCACGATATTGATCAGCAGCGAAACTGTGATCTGTTTCGGGTATGACATCAGTTTCTGCATCTTCGCGAGAGTGAAAGATGAGCCCAAGTTTGAGACGGTCGACACAATGAGAATAGAAGACTGATAGTGGGCCGCTGCCCACTCATCCGAGCTGAAGCGATGGTAGAAATACGGTGCAGCGGCGAGAAACATGTTCCTATGGCGCAATCTGGTCAGCATCGCGTATACTCCAGAATAACCATCTGGGCGCTAGAAAGCTGTCGTTAGGTAAGACGTACCATGCCCAGAGCATGGAAACCCCAAGGAGGAAGAATACTCCATATTCAAACCTCGAGAAACGTGGCTCTGGTAGTGTCTGAGAAGATATTAAGTGGCGATCCTCATCGTCCTGCGGAGGATGCTCGAGAGGCTCATATTCCGCCTGGGGAGAGATCCATCTCTGAAAGCGATCCATTACTTTTTGTTATGGTGTGATATGAGTCCCTTTCTGAAAGTAGAACCGGGACATAAGTTGGGATCAATCAATCCATGATCAACCCGGGAAACCTGCATTTAAGGAGGATGTTGGAAGGGAGTTGGATCTACGACCGGGGTGATCGGTAATAAGCAGGTCACCTGCCGAGCCGGTCGGTTGAGGTCACGTTGACCCGCTGAGACGATCATTTGATGCGTCCTTGGCCTTTTGAGGCTCGATCATAGTTGTATATCTTTTTGGCAATTCCTTGTGGGGATTATTTGCGCCTGGTAATATCGATGGGGAGCCCGAATTACAGTAGGGTTCATGGCTTAATTTGGTTTGATCTGGCCTCTGAGAGGAATGTCCATATTCTGGGCCGTGCTTGGGTTATCTTTTAAGTACAAATAGACTATGAACAAAGGACCCAAATTTCTCTACTGAATGGTCGCTATGACTTATGTTTATATACTTCAAAAGAGACTATACCACTTGAAATTTGACCCACAGGAAGAATGGTTGATCTGGCAGATCTATCATCCAATGCGGAAGTTACAGGAATCAAGGGACCTATGTAAGGAAATCCTATTACGCTTATTGCTATAGCCTATATCAAATATTGTCCTCTTTGTTGATAGTAAGCAGAGATGTGTATTATTTTTTCTCTATCCCACTTGTCTAACTGCTTAATATGTAAGAATATGCAAGTCCCATCAGTTCAAAACAGTAAAATCAAAAGGTATAGATACATCCGCGATAGTTGATCAATCCAACCATCCAAGAGGTAAGTGTATAAGTAACTGGGTGAACAAATAAAAAAAAAATCTCTACAGTGAATAGGAAATAAACCCGCGGAGGGAATGGACAAGCTACCCTTGAACAAGGTAGTCTTCCTGTAATGACAGTTACTCGTTCTTCTGCTGCTCGCCTTGTCTGGAAGCTGCTTCCTCAGCGCCAGCTTCCTGCTCCTCTTCTTGCATCTGCCACAACTTTTCTTGGGTCAAAGGACTGATAGGAGCGTCCGTCGGAGGCTGAGAGACATCGCCACCACTCATTTGCCATTCCATCAACTTCGTGAAGGCGCCGTCAGGGCGAGAGCTGAGCTCCTCGTACGAACCATGTTCGGCGACCTTACCGTCGGGGCCGAGTACGATGATGGTGTCGGACCGCTTGATGGTAGAGAGCCGATGCGCAATGCTGATTGTCGTGTTGTTTCCGCGGAGCAAGGCAGCCAGAGCACTGTTAACTAAAGTCTCAGATTCTGCGTCAAGAGCAGAAGTCGCTTCATCAAGAATTAAGATATCAGGGTCTTTAATTAGGGCACGGGCAATAGCAATGCGTTGCTTCTGTCCACCGGAGAGCTGAGCTCCTCGAGGACCCACTTGGGTGTCGAGGCCATCAGGCTATAGAATGTCAGACGCAATCAAAAAATAAATACTCTTGATCGATACTTACGAAATCACTAATGAACTGGCAGTTCGCCTTTCTGGCAGCTGCGACAATCGCAGACCTTGTTGCCTGCGGGCTCCCGTATGAGATGTTCTCTGCGATAGAGCCTGAGAAAAGAACGGGCTCTTGAGACACAATACCAATCTTTCTCCGAAGAGATTTAGCATTCATCTCACCGATATCCTTTCCATCGATCAGAACCCTGCCCTTGGTGGGAAGATAGAATCGAAGCAAAATGGAAGCAATGGTAGATTTGCCTCCTCCCGAAGGTCCAACGATGGCAACATTGGTTCCCTGGGGAATCTCGAAATTCAGGTCCGTGAAGATGGGAACAGCAGGACGAGTGGGGTAGCTAAACGACACATTCTCAAAGCGAATAGGCCCACGAGCAGAGACAACCTTTGTACCCTTGGTTGGAGATATCGTCGGCTTGCGGTCCTGCAACTCGAAAAGCCGGCTAGCCGCGCCAACACCCTTCATCAGTTCGGAGTAGAAACTAGACAAACCAAACATGCTAGAACCTGCGTAGGCTGTATACATCAGGAACGAGGTCAACTCTCCAATACTGATAGCACCAGACCGAACCATTCCGCCTCCAACGTAAAGGAGTGCCAAAATCGTCATGTTGCCCATGAAACCAGTCTGCAAATCGTTAGAATTCCGAAATATGTAGATCGGAGTGTCATGTACATACGGAACTGAAGAAAGTCGCACTAATCACGGATTCTCTTTTGCCGAGCTCGAAGATCTTCCGCACTTGGTTGTTGTACCTGTTAACCTCAATAACTTCACCTGCAAAGGACTGACTCGTTTTCACATTGCCCAAACGCTCTTCGGCAATCTTAGTTAAGTCTCCTAGGTTCCTTTGAATCTTGCGACTCAAGTTGCGAATCGCCCTTCCATAGAAGAAAGCTCCAAGGCCAATGGGAGGAAGCAATAGAGCCAGAATGCTGGAGAGCTTAAGACTGACATATGCCATCAATCCGAAGCCTGCTGCACCGCTCACTGCTGCTCGCAAGCCGTCGGACAAATTCTGCGTAATGCTCTTTCCGACAATAATTGTGTCCGAACTAAGTCGAGAGATCAAATCACCAACTCGGTTTGCGTCGAAAAACTCTGCATCCTGGATGAACGTCTGACGGAAGAGCTTCGAGCGAAGTCTAGCAACGATACGTTCACCAACAATGCGCAGAATAATGATGCGGCCATAGTTTGCAGCAGCGCCCAAGGTGAGGACTCCGGCCAAAGCTCCATAGAACATTGGTAGACTAAGACCAAAGAGTTCACTGCCCCCTTCGGTAGCAGACTTTGTCGCTGCATCCATGATCTTCCCAATAGAGAAGGGAATCGACATGGTGATGGATGACGAAACCAGTAAAAAGAGGAAAGCAAACCCGAGCTTCTTGGCCTCTGGCCGTGCAATGGATAGAAGTCTCCATATTTCTTTAAACCCTGATTTCTTTCCCGATGCACCGTCTTTAGCCAACTTTGCGCTGAGATTAATTTTGGCTGCCTGCGCTGCCCGTTCAGATAGTTCGAAGCCTTTGTCTACTTCTTCATCCTCTTTTTCGTTGGGTGTATTGTTCGCCTGAGGAGTATTCGTCGATTGGGCAGTTGACTTGGATTCTAGATACCGGTGCGTAGAGGAGAAAAACCGTAAGTTGTGCGAGGGTCGCGACTGAGGAAAGACACGTCTTAAAACATTGTTCTGCAGGAAACTCGTAGGGTGTTGGACACGGTAGTTGCTAATTCTGTTGCACAATGGAGCCGGGACTCCCGAAAACTGTCGGCTTTGGCCACTATAGACTCCAGTCACACATGTATGTGTCTGAACTCCAAGGTAAAGCTCCCTGAGAATGCTCCCTCTTGGCTGAATAAACTGCCTCGCGGTGACTACTGGAGTCCAAGCCCCAAGCACCCGGACTCCGCGCATTTCGGAAATGTAACGAGAAGCGGAATCGGACGGCTAACTAGAAGGATGTCATGAGAGAAAATAGGGTGCCATATCCTCATTAGACAAACAAAAATACAGTCGTATTCATGACAATGCAGAAGCCAATGTCCGCTTCGCAAATTAACACGGGTGTCGGAGTACAGTAGGTACTAGTCAGCTGCAGCTGGAACGCCGCGTGAATTCAGCCCGATAATCGCCGCATCGACGGAAGACGCAATCGGCGTTTGTTCTGCCATCCGACACCGCTCGGGACGGTTCCGCAGCCATCGAAGCTGATCGAGAGCTTTCGATGGGGAGCTCAATTTGGAGGCTACGTTTGTTTGGAGCCTATTTTGTTGAACTTCTATATAGTCACTGGTAGGGCTCTCCGTTTAACTTGACGAGCTACAAGTTTCTCTGGCCGATCTCTCTTATATAGTTCGAACACATTTTTTTTTTCTATCTGCTACTTCATCTACCATTTACCCCACTTACATTACCCCTCCTGTCGAGATTGTTCAAGATGGTGCTCGATTACAGCAAATGGGATGCGCTCGAGCTGTCTGATGATTCAGATATCGAAGTACACCCTAATGTCGACAAGCGCTCCTTCATCCGTGCCAAACAGGCTCAGATTCATCAGCAGCGCATGCAACGCCGCCATGAAATCGAAACTCTAAAGTACGAGCGTATCATTAACGACGGACTTCTTTCCCGCATAGACCAACTCCTGAAGTCACTCCAACAACATGAGGGTTCCTCAAAGAACCCTGAAGAAGTGGTTTTCCAGATTCTCATGGAATCGGCAAGCAATCCGTCAGAAGATCAACCCCCTGCCCCACCGGCTGGTGTATACACGCATGAGAAAGAACAACCAAAGTATTCTCAAATGATGAGCTCGCTGGTGGATCAGGTTAAGAAGGAGATTGGCGAGGTCAGCTCCGACAACCTTCTCAAAGAATACATCAAGGGTGTGCAGGGGCACAAGGACAAAGTACAGGGCTTGCAGAAGGAATTGCTGGCGAAACTCGCAGAACTTGAGAAGGAAGAAAGCAGCAAAATTACAAGTGATCAGATACATACCGGCTTCGACACGTCCTTTGTCGCCAAGAACGATTCTAAGGGCAAAGAACCTGAAACCAAGAAGGCGGAATCCGTTGAGCTGCTGAACCCTACTACGGTATCGGGGTCTTCATCGCAGAAGGCTACCGCTGATGAAGAGGAAGAGGACACAGAAAACATGAAGGCTAGTGATCTGGCCAAACGATTTGCAAAAATCAGCCGTAACGACTACCGTACCTTGCTTCAGTTCATTTCTGAACACCCTGAAATCGTCGCAGAGAAGGAAACGGATGGTCTGCTAGTCGAAGCATTCAATAGCCAAATGGAAGGTAAAGATGACTACGCTCGTACATGCGTTCACCACGGCCTACTGCTGCAGTATTGCCGCTCCTTGGGCCGTGATGGCATTTCCCTCTTCTTTAAGCGGTATGTTGCCCTTATCCATCTAGGGAGCGTGGGGATCATTAGACAGCTAACATGGACTGGCGTGCAGTATCACGACGAAAGATCATCAAGCATCGACGCTTTTCCGAAACGACGTCAATGAAACCTACAATAAGATTAAGACACGTGCAGCAGAACTTGCCAAGGATGGCTCTGCATCCAACGACCCTGCTGGTGTTGAGCAGATCCAGCTTCATGCGGTTGATCCCAACACTAAGATCACCATCAACATCCCTGCTGCAGAGAGCAGCGAACCTGTCGAAGTCGAAGCACGCAAGATTTTTGAATCATTTTCGAAGGACTTACAACAGGCATTGAGCTCTGAATCTCTAGATGAGGTCAATAAGGTCCTCGGCAAGATGAGTGTCGAGGAGGCGGAAGACGTTGTGGAGAAGCTTGGGCAAAGCGGTATGCTCAGCCTCGAGGAGGGTATTGTGGATGCCACCACAGAAGAAGGTCGGAAAAAGTTGGAAGAGATCGAAGCCGAAAACAAAAAGGAGAATAAGATTGAGGAAGTGGGAGAGCCCGGCGGTGACATTACTGAACTTGACTAAAGAATTTATGTGGGAGACTGATCGACTTCAATGACGTTGTATATGTTTCTGCATGGTTCAAAAATGATGCATTGTCTAACCACTATTACATGTTTAATATGCAGCGCATCTCTCTGTACAAATTTGATTGGGCTGGACTTTGTAAATATGTTAATTACCCAGACTATTCCTGAGTCGTCCAATGGCACACTTAATCAATGCATTCACTTTTGACGTGCGGCTTATTGGGGGTATACCGGTATACCAACAGCCTACGTACGATTTGTACGGAACAAATTGCATATTATCTACCTACATAAGCTTCAAGAAGTAAAAGTTCCAATAGAAAAACACGGTTGAAAGAAAATAAAGAACAAAACGCAACCGTAACTGAGTATCCGATGAAGAGAACTTGTGTAAAGGAGTATCTGGATCGAGAAACGAGTGCTATGCACCTGGCAAGGAGGATAGGAGAATAAAGTCATAATAAATGCATTGTAATGCAAACAAGATCTAGATGCCACTGGCACCGGGGGCATTCTCATCCTTCTTCAGATCGACCAACAACTGACGGAAACGCTCCTTGCCAGATCCATTCGCACCACCCTTGGCGCCCTTCCCAGAGACATCAACAAGTTTTGCGATACGGTCCCAGCTGGTACCTCCGGAAGAAGTGTCTTCGCGATTGGCGAGGAATTGTTCGGCATCCGCACGAGTCTGAGCATGCAGCTTATCGGTCTTATTGTTGTAGGAAACGTAAAAGTCATCGATATCTTCTTGGGCCTTCTTAATAGTCGCTTGCTTCTTTTCTTCGGAGATCTCCGCACGGCGTGCAATGTCCGCATCTCGTCTTTCGCGCCATTCCCTAGAGAAGTTCCCAAGTTAGCGTCAGGGGAATGGAAAGTACGTCGTCGGCTGGTACGGCCAATATACGACAATCGTAGATTGGAATTCATGATACATACCTAACAGGCTCAGATTCCTCCTCCGGGGCTTGGTAGCTCGAGAAGCCCGTGGGCGGGAAGGGAGCGCCGGTTCCAGTGATCATGCCGCCAGGCGCAACTTGCTGCTCAAGGAAATACATGTCAATTAAACAGTCTGACGTGACGACATCAGCGCTCACATCCGTACCTCATTCTGTGTCTCAATAGCTGGGAAAGAAGATTCAAATCCGGAGATCTCTGGGGCTGCGCCAGCTGGAGCGTCCTCCGCACCGCCCAGTAGATCGTCATCGCCAGCATTTACATCTTCGGTGGTAGCAACGTGGTCTTGAGGGGTAGCAAACTGCTCTGCATCGTCACCTAGAACAGCTCGTTCGCGGGCTAGGAAGTCATCGGCATCCGTGCCGTTGGTCTCCACGATTTCAGTCTGGCCTAGGAAACGGTTAGTACATACATACTTGGAATGGAGGGATTGCATGTGGGATCCTGACCAGCGGAGAAGTCTTCTAATGAGGGGAATCGATCGGCCATGGTAGCTGTGAGTCTGCCAGAGCCGGCTTTAAATGTACAATGAGTTTTTGATTTAAGAAAGGTGGTAAGGGGAAGTTGACGGGAATGTGATGGTCCAGCTGGCGTCTAGAAGCGGTACGGATGGATGGGGTGTTGATTGTCTCCCGGGGGGGTGATTCTGCCGTTAAAGGCGGTGAATGAAGCTCAGGAAGGTGTAACGGAGCTTCACTGAGTACTTCTTGGTAACAAAACACCTCCACATCCGTCTTAATTCAGAGCATATTGCCACTTTGTCATTGTTCTCATTGCTTATGTATTCCGTTCACTTGTTCTGATATCAAAGATTGGCCCTGTTCGCATCGCAAAACAATCAGTGACTATATCAGGAGTTGTAGCAAGACCTCTTTTCTCACTAAACTTCAATTAATTACCAAAACAAAGGATCACTTGCTTCATCCCAATTCCTGTTACAATTACAGTATGGCCTATACGGACGATGCTGTGAAAGCGAAGCTTTCTGCCCTCAATGAGACCCAGGAGGGCATTGTCACAGTTGCGCAATGGGTTATGTTCCACAGGTAACTAGACAGCTGGCTATAATCGTTGGTATTGTTTAACATCTTTGTCTTATACTAGGCGACATGCTGAGCGTACTGCGCAACTTTGGCTACAAAAACTTCGCGACTCCCCTGCGCCGAAGCGATTGAATCTGATATATCTTGCAAACGGTATAGTGACGGCGTTGCCTAGTATTCAGTTCCGTCTAGGCGCTAATGCAGGCTTTAGAGGTTGCGCAACAATCAAGAGCACGACGGAAAGAGGATTTCTTGATAGCATTCTCACCAGTGAGTTCAACAGCAAATATTACGGGGATTTGGGTTAATATAATGAAGATTATCGCAGAGGCGACGGCTACTGCGTACAAAGGTGCTTCGAATGACATCCAGCAGAAGCTCCGGCGAGTAGTAGAGGTCTGGAGACAACGGGCGATCTTTGAGCCACCGATTCAGGATGCAGTTGAAGCGCGCATAGATGGTAAGCCTGGTTCGGCCTAAGCCTCATAAATCGATGTGATCCGCTGATTATCAGGCAGAAATTGATAAATCACGCTCCATCGGTAAAAAGCCGCCTCTAGGCGGGTCACTCTTCTCGAGCTCGTCTGGCTCAACGCCTTCTGAGCTTCAGCCCCTTGTCCCACTACAAGTGGCTCTATCAAAAGCTACGGTTTCCTCAGGTGCATCCGCGACAACTGCTAATGCTGAGTATGATAAGATGCATGACCCCAGTACCCCTTTACCGACACCTCCAGTACATGCCGCGCGGCTCAGCCAGCTATTGAAGGCACTTGCGAATGCCGAGAGCTCTGTCTCTGAGGTAATAAAATCGCGAATAGCACTCATTGATGGTCTTGAGAAACTTCTTGAGACCAATCGCTCGGCGTTGGCGAAGGAGCAGTCTCTGGCTACTCAGCTATCAGAAAGAAGATCAGAGACTGAGGCGAAGAAACGCGAGGTGGAGGATGGAATTATGAGAGGGCTATCCGCTGAAAATTCGCCAGCCGTCAATCTTGGAGACCCCGAGGGAGAACCCGTCACCCGTCCAGAAGTTGAAGCTCTAACACCCCCTCCCGTGGAAGCTCTTACACCCGTTGGATCGCCAAAACATGAGCTGCAAGAGATGGATTTTGCTGCGCAAAACCATACCCAATCTCATGCACCGACCGCGGGCTTCGCGTTGCCAGGCTTCGGGCTTACAGCAGAAACTGCTCAAAGCAGTCTTCTAGATGACCCAAACGGGCTCCATCCTAAGAAACGCAAGGTCGTTCATGAGGAAGAGGACTATGCTCAGTTTGCCAGTGGTGATCTGGACGCCGATGTCGCCGAGTTATTGCAGCAAGAAAGCAGTCTTCCCAAGTAAGGTCTATGTATGTTAGTTGGCTCTCCGTGAAAAGCTTAGTTGGCCGGCCCTTTTCGATGTCTTCTTCTCATGGACCCCTCATGGAGCTCTTTCCGGTGACCGTGTATCTCTGAAATGTCGAGAATGGGGAGAATAAGCATGAGGTGTCATGTCCCAGTGACTTTTTTTTTTTTTTTTTTTGATATACCTTCTTTGTTATATGTTAGTAGCTACTGTTCAGTATTGAGAATTTACCTTGCATGTACCTTGTTGTGACATTGTAGACTTTATTGTAACACTCATTTGACTTATATTATGAATTACTATCATGGTATCTGTTAAGGGCTAGAGCTATCGGTGTATGTCAGGATCCACCCATTTGCTTCGTGCAGCTGGAGCCAAAGACGGGCGCCTCTTCCGTCTATAGACAGTTTCGAATGTTCGGGGAAATAAAACAGGTGGGTGTTCGTTCGATTGAGGAGGTTGCTGGGGGGTCTCTGGAGTAGGCGCTGGCGAACTACTAGCATGTCGTTTGGGTTTGACCAGAAGTATTATGAACAATCCTGCGACAAGAATAACCAATAGTAGAAGTATTTTGCGCTTCGTTGTACGCCGTTGGTAATTAGTGGCCTATAAATAGCACGGCTATTTAGCATCATTTTTGAGATATACAATATGATACTTATAAAGACTTACCACTTTGAGTTCCTTATCTGCAGCTTTGACTTCTGTATTCATTTTCTCTACATTATAGTCGATTCGGTCCAGCATGGTACCTTGATCGATAACCATTGCTTGTAGTTCGCGGAATATGTCTGATAGCTCAATGATACCTTTGGCGATATCGTTGATTTCCCTTTCTCGCTGCATGATGGCGGCATCATTCTCTCCCCTAAGTCGCTGTGATGTTTGCATCAGAGTTGTCTGCGAAAATGACTTATCTGCATCGGATTCCATCAAAGAGGGATCTGTATAGGGATTTTGCACGGGTGTTGGAGATCGTTCGAACGGGTTCGCTGCACCCTCCAGCCCTCGCAGCTCTATCAAGAACCCCGTTAGCTCTAACATGTATGAGAAACAGCGGTGGCCTCACTCTTTAAGTATGTGCTTTGTTTCTTCCTGAACCGAGCACTAGCCTCTTGGACTCGTGCAGCGAGAGATATCTGAATATTTTTGGCCATAGTCTCGTCCCCGCTGCTAACACCACCCTGTTGTTTTGCGTCGCGCACCATCAACTCAACCTTCTGGACGGCCTTTTGGCATTCATGAAAGGAGCGCGTGATCTCCTGCGTGAGCCGCTCGATAACACTTTCATCTTGTTTCCTTACTTCTTCGTCCCCGAATCCTGGTAGAAGGTGTTTTTGGTGTAGCTTATCCAATTGGGCAGACTTCTGCGCAATGTCGGCAAGTAACTCCGTCACCTCTTCCTGCACGTCGACCCAGCGCGGAGGAAGCACATCCATCTCAATAATTGCGTCGCCATCGTCATCTAGGCCTCCTGAGTCCGATATAAGCCTGCGGCTTTCCTCTGGTTGTGACAGTGAATCGGAGAAGCCATTGGATGCTCCGATATAGCGAGGCTTCTTGGCCGGATGATGCGCGAATGATTGGCGGTAGGAGATATATCTGAGCGAGAGAGACGTTAGTTCTTCCGTCAGTGACCATGCTGTATATAGAATATCTAAGAGAAATTGTTTACAAATTCGTACGGTCTCGCCACATTGCGAAAGGGCGGAGTATCTGGGTTGCTTTGCGGTTATCTTCTCAACGGAGTGTCCTTTAGGTTGTCTTGATCATTGTCGGTCAATGGCTTAGGTCAGTCGTTAGCCGCAAGTCTAGCCCGAGTATAAAGAAAGGGCGCTTTGATTCGCGACAGGCGTAGAGTCATAGAAAGCAGAACTGTTCATCATATAGATACCGGATACACACACGACCATCAATACTTCCGTAGCTCGATCTCCGGAGACGGCCCACGTGAAGGGAGACAGGTCTAGTCCTAACCCGGGTTAGCGGTATCAGGTCCCGCGGTTATATCACGTGATAATATCTCCGTAACGGTCCTGTAATTAGTGTGGCTCCCCACAAGCATCTCGACCCATGAAGGTTTTAGACACTAGGTATGTAAGAGGGATTGTGTTAACAAGATATAATGGGTGCATGTATGTCTGCTGGGCAGAGGAGAAGGGTACCACATTTAATGCTCAGATTTATCTCTAGCACTGATAGAGAGTATATTGAAGACTACCTTGAGACTATATTCGGACTGCTCGCTGGGCCTTGTAACTCCGTAATATGATGAATATTAAATTCAATTCATCCATACAAGAGAGTACGGACTCAATGTTATAAATTTGGCTCGCATAAGAACACGGTTCAAACTGCCGCATGCTGTTATGTTGGTGGTTATCATTGAATCCAGATGGGGTTCAGGTACCTGAAATTGCCACCACTCAGGACCAGTAACCGAATATTCGCTTGCCTTCAAGCTTTCCTGTATGAATGATGGCGGGGTGCCACGCAGCCTCGTCAGCGGCTGGATGTGTGTGTGTAAATCTACAATAGGCATACATATGATATGGAGATATACTTAGAACAGGACACTAGTGACAGACTATCTATTTGATGATCTAAGTAGCGCCAAAATCTTCACCCGTAGGCTACAGCATTCAAGAAGAGAAATGATTCCAGACAGCTGAAGAAAGAGATCGGGCAGTGCTTGCCCATACCTTCAACCATTTCCTCCCTTTAGAGGGTGCTCGGAGCATCTTATGGCTAGGGCGGGTCACGTTTTGCGACCGCCTTGTGAGGCGCTCAGCTCTGTGGTCGGCCGGGCTGGCCATTTATTATGATTGAAGTAAGTCGGGTCGGTTCCCCTTAAACTACGCCCGTCGTCCCAACCTTCCCCCCACCACTATCAACGCGGTCACTTCTTGAACCTCCCACACATTCTCATTTCTTTATATCTTTGTTAACCTCCATATTTTACCATCACTTTTTTCATCCCCCTCCTACATTCACCATGGTATGTCATTCTTTGTTCCACCATGTCCAGCCGTGTTGAAATTCCCCCACTTTGCGGGGCAGATCGTCTGGCATTCTGAACGAAATTGCTGACAGCGCATCTTCTAGGCCGACTCTTTGACTGAAGAACAGGTCTCCGAGTACAAGGAGGCCTTCTCCCTATTCGTAAGTCATGATCGTCGTTCGCGAAAATTGGTTTTTGTTAGTCGTCTTTATTTGAACACAAGCTGACTGGGCTTCTCTTGGGTTTGCTATAGGACAAGGACGGTGATGGTTAGTACAGTCTATTTTATTCCGTCTCCCTTCAAGTGCGACCAATATCTTTTAGCCGCCATAATTTTATCCATTTTCTGTTCGATCGGCTGAAGTCTTGGCATTGATGGATTGACTTGATATGCAGGCCAGATCACCACCAAGGAGTTGGGCACTGTCATGCGCTCTCTGGGTCAAAACCCCTCTGAGTCGGAACTCCAGGACATGATTAACGAGGTTGACGCCGATAACAATGGCACCATTGATTTTCCTGGTACGAAAGGGCTTCCGTACGATTCACAAATAAAATAGCTGTTAATGTTCAATCAGAGTTCCTCACGATGATGGCGAGAAAGATGAAGGATACCGACTCTGAGGAGGAGATCCGGGAGGCTTTCAAGGTTTTCGACCGCGATAACAACGGTTTCATCTCCGCTGCCGAATTGCGCCACGTCATGACCTCTATCGGCGAGAAGCTTACCGATGACGAAGTTGATGAGATGATCCGCGAGGCGGATCAGGATGGTGACGGTCGGATTGACTGTACGTTTCGAGAAGCCCTCCCAGACCTATTGCGGCTGTGAAACCGGTGATACTGATTGATTATAGACAACGAGTTCGTCCAGCTCATGATGCAAAAATAAGCGCTACCTTCCTGTATATCCCGCCAATTGATAGCGAAAATGAGTGAGAGCAAAGAAATCTATTCCTCATGTCTCATTCCCGTTTCTGCCATTGCTTGTAGTCTACTGAGGCCGACATCCGCTGTCGATGGCAGTTGGCCATGCGTACCATTTTAGGCGTTGTCTTTTTCTCGCGGGATGAATGCAGTTGGATGGATTTAGACTGAGCTAAACAATTCGAGATGATGAGGTGGTGTCTAGAACCACCGAATGTCTCTTATTCGGCATGCCCGCTTTTGGCTTGCAATTTCCTATGCCATTTTTCTTCGCCCTTTTCTCTGACCTACTATTTACGATTATCATACAGCCCTTTCGCGTTCCTGGCTTCTGCTCTTAAGCTCTTTGATCCCCGTAGCAGGTTTGGCTGCACATTTTTAAAGAAGAAAAAAAAAAACAAAAAACACGAGGCTCTTTGCATGCCCCGTATTGCTTTATCGTTTCTCTACGTTTTGCTAGACATAGGCTGTATCTATGATGCCTTGAACAGTTGCTAAGTATTAATGGTATTTATTCACTAGGAAATGAAGGAACTCAGGTAAAAACCATTAACTATCCCTAAGCTGTAATGTAACGTTCCGCACCCTTAGCGATTAAATCTAAAGATTTCCATGAATTGCCTCGCCACATCGACCCCAGCTTCTGGGTCGGGGTCTTCATCCTGCTGCCCGCTTCCCATGACACTGGTAGATGGTTGGCGTGCTTTCTGATCTCCTAACTGCTTCAATTTTCGCAACTGCTCCTTAGATTCCCTGCCGATATCCTGCACAAGGATTGCTTCCCGCGCCCCTTGAATATCCAAGCGCGCCCAGAACTCTCGAATTAATGTCGCAGTCGCAGCATACTCAGCATCAATATCTGCCTCCTCAAGACCCTCAGGAAACGCCATGTCGATCCCGGAATCACCGTCATCATCTGGTAAGCCACTATCTCTAGGGCCGCTGAACGCCTTCTTGGACTGGCTAAACAGCGACGCGATGGACGTCACTAACGACGGACCCTTCCATTCTATCTCAACAACCGTACCCCTGACCCTTGCAGCTGGCTGCGTCTGTCGTACATCACCAATTCGGACCCGAAAATCACCAACATCATAGACGACACCGCCAGGAACCGTAACGGTGTGTCGATGGCACCAGAACGGTTGGCAAGCGTAAACAAAGTGTTGAAAGAGTGTACTGCAAGCCGGCAAGGGAACAGTCGTCATAACCATTGACGAATGATCCTGACTGTTCGATGCCGCAGCCTGTGTAGGTGTCGCGGTCTGGTGTGGAATTGGGGTTGGAGAGGCGGGACTCGGTGCCCCTGGAGCTACTGCACCGGGACTACCGCCGCCGGAATGAGCGTGGGGCACCTTTTCTGGTGGCGGAGACGTGTAGATAAACCCATGGTTTGGAAAGTAGGTTAGAGAGAGGAACTGCATGTACCTCGGTTGTGCGGGACGCTGGGACGCTGATGCAGGTAGACAGGATGGGGTATCCCGCATCAGCTTATGCTCTAGAGCCCAACGGCCCACAGGAATGGGTTCATCGGTTAATGATGAATGAAGACGCTCTGTAACTGTAGCGAACGCCGTGGAGGCGTTGGGGTTTGATGGGATGAAGAAGACCCTGTTGCTGTCAGTATATGTGCGATTTTGAATGGAAGCGGTGCCCATACCCAGTGATTGGCATCTTGATGAAAACTCAGAATGATGATAGGTGTGGTTTCCCAGAGATTATGTCTCTTCGATCCAGGTATCTGCGTATATATCTTGTATCCAAACAGACGGTTGAGAAAAGTGATACCAGGTGGATCTAAAGCCTAAAGAACCAAATATAAAAGACGGTCATGTAAATATAGTAGAGTCTACGATCGTCTGATACAGCTATTCAACAGCTACCACAGTACATAGTAGACCGAGTCGCGACTCGCATGTGAAGGTCTAGCTTTGTCAGTGACTATAGCAATAAGGCTGAAGCATGCCGGTTTGGTCCCATACCTTAGTAATTGCTAATGCTGGGAATGATATATTTGATTTCAGATTTCATTCAGACTAAATGAGTGCCAGTAAGGTGATATCGTCTGATTAGACCTGACCCACGCCAATAGACTATGACATAGTTTATCCAGTAACACTTCCGTATATAGCAATTGTCGATCTTGGGAGCAAACTGTGGTTGCCCGAGGCAGCAATGCAAACAGGGCAAACGCTCTGCCAAGGGAGACACACGACCCCCATCCCAAACCATGGTTGAGCGCCACTAACTTACGATTTCATCTCCACTTTGAAGAAACAACTTTATCCAAAAATCCACAACTTGTTCCAAATCTCAACCTGGACATTTCCAGCTAATTTATCGATTTGGTCTGGTACCACTGCGTTGACATTCTCTCACACCACATTCCTAATAATCAAAGTACCTTCCCTGCGTCCACAGCCAAGACACGGCAAAAAGATATACTGAGACAGTGGAGCACAGGGGCATCTTGGAGGCGGGATGTCATGTTAAGAATAGCACATTTGGCTGGGCTAAGCCTTCCCCTTCCAGGGCCCTAAAGCTCTAAGGGTCCCAGGGACCACTTTGATTACGCAATGCCCACTGTATCATTTTCTTGACCAATGCTCACTGCGGCAGGGCACCGCAGCCACACCTTTCGCACAGGCTCCCCTTCCCGATCCACATGCCAATCATTGCCTAGATGTTTGATAATGGAAAGCTATGCACTTACAGCAGGATTTCTGATCAATGCCTCCATACTCACCTGCCAATCAATGTGAAAGGACAGGTCGAGCCACCGGCGATCACTGGGGCTAAAATGCTACTACGTACTCCAACTCTCCATATTAACAAAGAATTAATGTCTGGGGTGCTTTGTTCTTTCCCCCTAGATGGATGCTCTAGGCTTTTCTCTTCCTGACTTGGAAATTTTGAATCTCTTCTCTTCCCTCTCCGGCATTAGAAGTGCTACTCTAACCTCTGAGCATGCTGTATTTACATTCCTTAATGTTGTGTCATTCGTTTTCGGCCTAATCTCGAGCTTCTTCAAAGAGCTCATTAACATTCTCTTGCCCGCTGTCCTTCCTCCTTTCTAACTAAGGCCACTTTTGTGGTAATTCGATCCTTCTTCACAACATGCTTTGCGTTCGAAAAAGCTATTTTCTTCCAACATTCGTCTTAGTGTTCCTCACGTATATCCTTTTCTCTAGTCTACCGCCAGGCGCGGAGATACCGTACTTTGACGACCCCGCAGAATATGGACCTCCTCCTCCAAGGCCTCCTCCAAAGGGCAACGACCTAATCCATTATAGAAATCCCACCGAGCAGCACCCGGTGGAAGAATATATCCCCCTTCCAACAGCTGCCCCGTCTCCTATTCCCCGTATCCAGTATGAATTTCCGGCGGAATCATGGTTCACTCGCAGAAGAAGGGTGAAGAAGCAGAACGCTGTGCGGAATGCCTTCAAACACGCATGGAATGGATACAAGAAGCATGCGTGGCTACGGGATGAGCTCTCGCCCCTCAGTGCTGAATACCGAGAATCATTTGGTGGATGGGCAGCTACCCTGGTTGATTCTCTCGATTCACTTATCATCATGGGGCTGACGGACGAATTCGAAGATGCGCTGCAAGCAATTGAACAGATTGATTTCTCGACGACTGGCGCCACGCAAATCAATGTATTTGAGACGAATATCCGATACCTAGGAGGATTTCTGGGAGCTTACGATCTAACCAACGGAAGTTACCCCATACTTTTGAAGAAAGCAGTAGAGGTTGCCGACCTGATATATGGCTCATTTGATACTCGCAATAGAATGCCCCAGTCTCGTTGGGAGTGGACAAGGTGAGATAGGACCCTTGTTGAAGTGGCCAAAAATGCCATGTGAGCAGTACAGAACAGTGATAACAAATTTATAGGTCGGCGCTAGGAATGGGTATTCAGCCCAGCCGCAACACCATTCTTGCTGAACTTGGTTCTCTGAATCTAGAATTCACCCGAATGTCGCAGTTGACCAAGGATCCAAAGTATTTCGACGCAATTCAAAGGATTGCCGATAAGCTGGAATCCGCACAGTCGCGCACACAAGTACCTGGTTTGTGGCCTATGATGGTCGATGCTCATGATATGGAATTTACCGATCCTCGATTCACTGTCGGTGGGATGGCCGACTCCACTTACGAGTATCTTCCCAAGGAACATATATTGTTGGGGGCGCAGACGAATCAATACAGGAAAATGTACGATGCCGCGATGAACTCTATTAAGAAGCGTCTGCTTTTCCGGGGCATGACCAAGGACGGGAAGGACATCATGTTCGCAGGCAATATCCGCTCTACTTCTAAAAGCGTCATCGAACCCCAATTTGAACACCTGAAGTGCTTTCTGGGAGGGACTGTAGGCATAGGAGCCAAGGTGTTTGACCGCCCCGAGGAATTATCAATTGCGCGGAAATTGACCGATGGCTGTATCTGGGCTTATGACATTATGCCGACAGGGATCATGCCCGAGGCATTGTATGTCAGTCCTTGCAAGAACATGGATGATTGCGAGTGGGATGAGCAGAAATGGCACACGGATATTCTTCGTCGTTTCGCCAAATACTCCCAAGGGGAAGAAGCTGCCCAGAAAATTATCAGCAGCAATAAACTGCCTCCAGGTGTGACTGAGATCCCGGATGCAAGTTATAACTTGAGGTATGTCAGCTATTTATTTATCCAACATATTACTCTCGATGCATATTGATGGATGACCTAGACCGGAGGCTATCGAATCTGTATTCATCATGTACCGTATCACGGGGGACAAGGAACTGCAAGATGCTGCATGGCGGATGTTCCGTAGCATCGAAAAGATGACGCAGACTCGCTACGCGCATGCAGCTATCTCCGACGTGCGAAACCCTCAGTCATCACAGCTGGACTATATGGAAAGTTTCTGGCTCGCAGAGACGCTCAAGTACTTCTATCTAATTTTCTCTGAGCCGGACGTCGTCAACTTGGACGAATACGTACTGTATGTATACCCAATGTCCCATTCTGACAGGCGTCCTATGACAGGCTGTTTTGGATGCTAAACCCAGAATTACTAACGCCAATCACATAGTAACACCGAGGCACACCCATTCAGACGGCCAACCGCTTGAGTATGACGCTGAGCCTTTTCACCTTCATGTCTTATTTCATTCATATCTGGCTAGGTAAAGGGGGTTTCGGCGCAAAGGAGTTACATAGAGGTATAAATTAGCAGGGCTAAATTCTATCTATGGATATGCAATATCACTATCATAAGAGAGCATCATAATGAATCATTAAATACAGAGAATATCGTAATCCCACATCTAACTCCTTCTATCGAACTCAATTGTATATTGTACATCCTTCCGAATAAACATCCTCCCTCCACTACATTCAATAGGGACCGATCCATCCCTCTCCACAAGCTCAATAGATGAATTAATAGGTCCAGCCTTCGGTGTACCACTCTCCTCGCTCCCCAGCCTTTCATGGGTCTTCGACCATGTTCCCGACCGCGACACACGCCATCTCTCCCTCCCATCAACCACCGAAGGCAAACCTCTAGTCCCTGATTTCGACGAGGAAGAATGATCTTTCGGCGTCCTCGACGCAGACCCACTCTCCAAATTCGTATCGCCTGCTGTCCCGTAGTTCGTACTCACAGCCGCCATGAACGGCCGAAGACAAAACACGCTACATGCAACGAGGGCATAGTTCAGCTCAACCTGAGCCCATAATATCGGTTCGACGACAGCGAGAGTAGGATCTGGTGATGAGATTTTTTGATTCAAAGCATAGATATGCAGTATGGAGAAGATGACGAGTCTAAGAAATACGTCAGCTAGCTATAACGTAATGGGGGATAGTAATCCCTACGGAAGGCGAAAGAAAAAGGCAAAGCCGATAGGTAGTTTGCGCTTGAGGGGCATGAACAGACCCGCTAGGAGGGTGACTGCAAGTCCGAAGAGAAGGATTTCAGTTAGAATGTCCATTGCGACGATGAATTGCCAGCGTTTTAGCTTTACGGGGTTGTGTTAGCTAATTCCGTAACAAAGGAGTCTAGGAGGATATAGACGGAAGACTTACCAGGTTCACGCATTGTCCTCCGGCGCCTTTCCAGGGTCTATTTAGCTCGCAGTTGATGGCGATGATGAATACTGATGTGATTATCCATGCTGTACAGAGGGCGAGTGTGGCCCAGGAGATCCGGTTATGTAGTTTTTGGGGTGTGAGACGGAGGTGGATGCCCACTACGCAGCATTTGGAGACGTAGATGGTGATTAGGTAGAGAATGTCACTGATTGTGACTAACTATAGGTATCTTTGTTAGGAAGTTGAACTTCTGGACCATATTTTTAGGATTTAGGGCACGTGCTGTCTGAATGTTATACACCTGGTCGTGCTGTAGTAGATCAATAGCTGTTCCAAATCCGTGAGACACAGCGCAGAATAAGAGCGAGCTTTGGACAACTGCAAAAATCTATTATTGTCAGCGATGTTCTACCAGTTCTTGCCATTTTTTTTTGTTCAAATTAAAGTATTCAGAAAGATGGCCATAGCTTACCGTCGCTCCTAACAGGACAAAGTCATCGTATGCGAAAGGCGGGCTAAGCACCAGTCGCACATAAAGACGAATCAGAAAACTGACTAGCGAGACAACTAGTCCCAGAGCGCCGGTGATGATTATCCAAGCGCCATGATGGGAGTCATCTACCACCTGAAAAGGAGGTGAATAACCCGGAGGGACGTACACGCCCATGGCAGCTGAGGACCTGATGGTGACCCCAGCCGATGGAACAGGATAAATAAAGCAGATTCACCTATACACAACTATTTCGCTGACTACGCCACGATTACAAGAATGAGGCCTTTTCTTTTTTAATTCCCCTTTGTTTTTACTTTTTTTACTTTTTTCCTCGGTTATGTTGTTCTGGCTAGCCTTAGGGCCAACCGGGCGTCAGAACCAGGGTGGGATATGTGATGACCCTCGACAAAGCATCGTGCCTAACAGCTGACACGATTATCTTCGTCGATCACCCGCATCAATTACGATTGGGCTTCGCCGCTCGAATCAGATCTACAGAATCGAACGAGGGCTCCGGCAAGCTCAGACATTTTATCCTTGCAAATATCATCACAAACCTTAGCCAAGACCAACCCTTCTCTTCCTATTTCCTTTTGAGTTCGGGGATACCAACCAGCTTCCGCAGAGCTGCGCTGTTTGAAATTGACGCTAGGAGGCTGTTTGATCAAGTATGGTATGTAGGGCTTTGCTCGTGGAAGACCGTTTCAGCGTGGTCCAGGCTCACGCTTAAGCTCAGTCAAGGGGGGTTTCCGTGCACGATCAGCGCCATTCGGTCCATATTAAGCGATAATGCTCGTGATCGATGTTTTGGCTTTCCACTGTGTCAATAGTCGACGCACGCAAACACCGAAAATAACCAATCTTAGATTAGTGACGATCCCGACGGTCACACATGAGCTGACACCCGACATGCGACGTCGGGCGTGGGGGTAAATTAGCATTTATTCTCTCCGAAATGCTCGTCAGCATGTTGTACATTGAACAACGCCGAGCTTCGGATTATACTCTTCGGTATACCTTTGTGGATAGCTGTTTGCAAGAGAAAGATTTGGTTACCTTTGAAACTCATACTCGAGGGGTCCAGTGCCATGCTTGAACCAACGCAGGCACATGTAAGGCGGACGCGAAATGGGAATCAGACTTGGAAATAATAATCAGCACCCAACGATCAGCATGCCACAAAATGCCGCGCCTCGCAGGCATCGGCGGTCAGGATGACGAGCTCGTGCATTCCTCTTTTTCCCTTTTGAATTTTGCTGTCCCACATGGCTGGAACTATGCTTTTCACATTGGCGCGCAAACTAGAGAATATTGTTTTAGCCTCGTTTGGCGAAAACAATTGCCCCCTCCACCCCCTCGCACAAGACGGAATTTATCCCTACCACGATAGAATCTCCTCCATTACTCTCGAAAGATCCTCATGTACTAACTGGACCTTTGCCCTATCGGCAACTCTAGAGGTGTCTGCGCCATGGTACATGCTGCTGGCCTTAATCATGAAGCTGAGGCATTCGGCATCTCCGAGCCTGGATATGCCACTAAAGGCCTTGTTGAGCCCAAGTATATGGGCACTATAGCAGACCAAAAAGATATGAATGTTTTGGGCCGAGTTCAAGTTCTGCGGGTGAGTCTGTCTATGTCGATCAACGTATAGTACTGACATCGTTAGTTTAGAGGAATTTCCGATTTGTTTCAATTGTTGGGTTCGGTTGCACATTGATATCCACGTGGGAAGTCATACTAACGTATGTTTCTCTGATCTTCCTGGCATTGTTTGTACAACTAACTGCTGGGCAGGTTGTTGAGTACTGGCTTAACCGACGGTGGAACTGCTGGCTTGATATGGGGTTTTATTATTGTTTCATTAGGGTTCGCCCTTGTATTTGCCAGCATAGCTGAGATGGCGTCAATGTGTGCTCTATGGTCGCTTCATTACTATTCATGCGAGTCAAACTGACCTTTTTCCAACAGGGCTCCGACATCCGGGGGCCAGTATCATTGGGTATCCGAGTTCGCGCCTCGCAGATACCAGAAGTTCCTGAGCTATATCACTGGTATTCGGTGTCAAGACCCATCCTCAGTCTTCGATTTACTAACGATATTAGGCTGGCTCTGCGCCATGGGATGGCAGTGCGCTATTGTATCCATTGCATTTCTTGCTGGCACTATCATACAAGGCTTGATTGTACTCAACGATTCGACGTATGATTTCCAACGTTGGCACGGCACTCTATTTGTGATAGCTATTACAACATTTTCTATTCTTTTCAATACCTTTTTAGCTAAGAACCTGCCCATGGTAGAAGGGTTAATTTTGATCCTTCATGTCGTCGGGCTGTTTGCGATTATCATCCCTTTGTGGGTGCTTGCTCCCCGGAACAACGCTAGAGCTGTTTTTACTGAATTCAACAACGGAGGAGGATGGAACAGCCCCGGTACTGCGATGCTGGTCGGCCTGTCGACTACCATTACTTCTATGATCGGATATGATTGCTCTGTGCATATGTGTAAGTGGTGACCATTACTATGTGTGTGCAGGTAGCTAAGTTGCAGGAACAGCCGAAGAAATTAAGGACGCGTCAAACACATTACCCAAAGCAATGATGGCTTCTGTTGGTGTCAACGGTGTTTTGGGCCTCATCATGATTATTACGCTTTGTTTTACTATGGGCGACGTTAACAGCATCCTCGCCAGCCCAACTGGTTTTCCGTTCATACAGATATTTTACAACACCACCAACAGTTTCACAGCAGCAAACACTATGACCGCCATCTTGATAGTGACGTTGACGGCCAGCACTATCACAGAGGTCGCAACAGCGTCCCGACAGCTGTGGTCCTTTGCAAGAGATGGAGGGCTCCCCTTCTCAACCTTCTTCTCCTATGTACGTTGTTATCGACGGCAATATTAGATGTTATTCCATCAAGTCAGAAGATGAAGAGCTGACATGGTGAATTCGAAATAGGTCACACCGGGATGGCACATCCCACTAAACTCAGTGATGGTCTCTCTTGCAGTGACTATTCTCCTCTCTTTGATCAACATCGGCTCTACTGTCGCTCTTCAGGCCATAGTGTCTCTTACAATAACCTCTTTAATGTCTGCCTATATTCTTTCTATTGGCTGCGTCGTTCTTAAACGAATCCGAGGCGAGCCGCTTCCGCCCCGGAGATGGTCTCTTGGCTCATTCGGTATGGCCATCAATATTGCATCTTTGCTGTTTCTATTCCCGATCTTCGTTTTTTCTTTTTTCCCCCTCACTGCATCAGTTGACAGTAAGACGATGAATTGGAGTGTGGTTATGTATGTGGCAGTGCTCGGTTCTGCGTCGGTCTATTATTTGGTTCGAGGGAAGCATCAGTTTATTGCCCCAGTGGCGCTCGTCAAGAGGGGAGAATGACGGGGATAGCCTTGGCTATTGTGGGTTTGGCAGCGACTTATAATGCACATCACCGATACCACATAGTACGGATGCATTAATGTACAGTACCTTCAATGTTGATAGTATCGCTCCATGAATTGTGGGATTGTGAATATGTTCTATTGAATCTTCTCTACTGTCCATTTCCCCATTTGCATTCCCATATCTATTTCCTATTGTAAAATAGGTAATACTTCTATCTCATTCCCAGGATTCATACTATATCGTCCAGCCCACAGCTTCTATCGAGCCTACTCCACTTTCTAACGTCAACCTTACTCTGCCTCTTCATTCTGGAGCCTAGAGAATCGGAATCCATGAGCCTTGGTACCTACTGTCCCAGGAACTGATCCCAAGAATACAACACTAGGGGTGCAAAGTACTACTGAACTTGGTAGATTTCTCTACCCAACAGCACTAGGCGCAATTTCTGGAAACAATCGATATACCCATTTAAGCACCAACTCATGTATCATTCCACTGCTCATACTTCCTCTACTTAAGGAGCATGGGCAGTTTATCATAATTTTCGAAGCGTTGGATCATGTCGAGCTTCCAATACTGGAAGGATATCCCTTGGAGGAAAGTCAACATTTTCATTCCAATATACAAAGCCTGTTGACGCCTTCATTATGGAAGGATACAAAAGATACGATAATGCTAGTCAATGAACGTAGACTGGTAAACGAAATAAGCACCTTGCGACTTCAAATGCAGTGCTGAGTTTATAGCTTCTACAATCCCATGGGCATCAGAAACAGCATAACCACGTCAGGGTTCTTGTTTGTCGCAAAGAGCCCATGATTCCCCTCTAGGATTCCTCCTACAAGTAACAAAGTCTAAGTTGCTGTGCACGCATTTTGCTTATCCCAGTCTTCTGGCAGGTAAGCCTTCTTTATGAAGTCCTAGCAGACGCATTCCGGTTTGACTTCGTGCGTCTTCATCACAACAGCACGGTAAGGAACCTCTTTCTCAATATTAGTAGTCCTCAATTTATGGTTAACTTATTATAGTACTCCTTGATTACATTGCGTTGGGTTCCAATCAAGCGCAGCAAATATGGAACATGTTGAACTGGATGGTTGCTTATACTTTTTCCTAGCCATTCATTCTTGAGTTTGACGACTCTATTTCTAATATTCCAGGGGCCTAGAAAACCGGAGAGAGGGTGGTTCTAGGAATTTGCAAGATTTGAACATATATATCCCTGAATCTCGATCCTCAAAGGCTCTCTGCATTGCTTTGATTAGGCTAATTTGTCGTCCGGCCACCTACCTAATATTTTGTCTTCTGGGATTTCGGGCGCTCGCTCATTGCTATATATCTTTCAGCAAAGGTTATGAGCCTGCGTCTTCGAAACCAGAAGGACTTACAACAGCATAACCGTGACGAAATTTAGAATATTGCGGGTTTCCCGCTGAGAAGGGAGACTCTCCTCTCCCCCCAAACACAGAGAATGCGTCTGGGGTTTCAGACGCAATTGACGACTATATTCTCGTCTGAAAAGATCATTATAAGTGGTGAATCAGACTATTGGATTTGGTATAATAAGCACAAAGGCCCAGCAGGTCAGTTGATAATCGCGGAGGCCAAAAAAGGCTAAACATGTTACTCTTGGCTTGCCACAGTTAATAGGCTATATAGGTAAATCCTCATCTAGCGACCCAGACATCGGCAAAAGATGTCGATAATTATCTGATGTGACAGTTCTAGTACCTGCCTTGCATTCTGGAAATTGAAAATGCGTTGTTTAACCTCACAAACCGAGACCGATGCGATCGATGTATAACGAAGGATTCTGAGTGTGAATCCCTCAAATTGCACCCCCAGCATCAACAATTAATCATACAATCGGATGCAATATTGACCAAGGTCTATAATATTTTCTGCTGGGGTATCAGTTACAGACCTCATGGATGCCAGCCGGTGTCGGTAAAAATCTAAGCATTTAGAGAGGGCTGACTTGGTACAATGGCTTTGTTACTGGGACTGCCCTACCAGTTTTGGGAGCTACAGGTTAGTAATTCTACTCTACAAGGCCTTCTAGGGCATTATTCTGGGTAGCATAGGTCTTGACCAGAACCTCTCGAACCAAGGGCACTGTCAAGACTCAAGACAATCTTAAAACGAGCTCCGCAAGCTACGCCACTATATCCTCGAGTGCACAGGATCCAGCTGATCAAGCTCAAGTCTTCGATCTACTTGTTGAGATTACCAAGAATCAGTTCTATCCGTGGAATAAAAGCAAAGTTCAATCAAGCATTTGATGAAGCAGTTAGACGTTATGACGATAACGTTGATAAGGCGTTCCAAATCAGAGCTTTGGTTTGTAGCCTATCGCTTTTGAGTTTTCTGTTCTTCTTTTTTCATGACAGTGTCAATCATGGGCAGATCCTAGGGTATGGCCATGCTTATGGCTGGCAGAGATCACCGAACCTAGATATCTTTTGCAGAAGAAGGACGCCTATGCTAAACGTCCCTTATAATCTGATACAATTCGTACAGAAATGCTACAAGCTGAAAAGCATTCGCAGTATCGACATCTTTTGTTAGATCTCGTCTCTTCCTAAGTGAAGGTTTTTTACGACAATCTCGGCCCTTTTCGTTGCGCGCGTGCCTACGACTAATCGGGAGACCGATTTCATGAGCGTCCCAGCGTGAGTCTTAAGTACACTTGTACTAAGTTTAAGGATACCCACGGGCCCGTTGGAGAAAAGCTCTCCTTTTTTGTGTCCGTCCAATTGCCTTATAAGGCATTTCAGCCTAATTGATATACCCGGCCATGCGGAAGGGCACTCCAGGCATCAATCTCGAACAGTTGTTAGGGCTGTCTTCCTTTAACAACTACAAGGACGGCGTTGCCGTAATGAACCATGAAATCATGACAAAATCGCTTCAACTTGAGCTACTGCATTCCTCACACGCTGTAAAGAGACCAGATGTCCTGCCGTATTAGTGATAAAGAGTTAGGATGGCCTGTCTACTAATCCAGTAGCGCTGACATCCCTATTTCAGCCTTATATGGACAATGTGCGCATCACCATAAGGTCTTCGCGGGTGAACCACAAAGATTTTATGAGGTCTCGTCGAGAGAGGCTATACTTTTCTCAAGATACTTCCCGTGGATTTGCTCTTCTCGCAAACCTGCCAGCTGAAATATCCCCTTACAGATCACTGCAAGGTGGTAAATTCTACGCTGTCCCTAGAGTAAATAGTAAGTTTCCTATGGCCATCCGTCTTATAAAATCCGTCTTATATCCGGATAAGAACAGAGGGATATCAAGAGTAACTCTGGGAAATTACAATGTGGCTACCACTACCCAGAAAGCCTTGCCCAAGGCGACAGAAGTGGCCATCTCTTTGGTGAAGTCTACTGATTAGTTGGATGAGGGAAGCCATAATGAAGTCGAAAAGCCTTGGCCGCTATCACGGCGTTTCAATACCAGAAATAAAACTACTACACAGTGTCTTAGGTTTGGATTTCCTGCTGCGACTACAATACTTTCCGTTAATAATTCAACCTGCCAGGTTGATATCTAAGCACATAGCAAAAGCAGCGGGCGGAGACTGAGACATCCAGCATCAACCATGTGCTTCAAAACCCTAAGTCACAAATATCCTTTACTGTGAAATGGCTGAAGAGCCAGTGATATCTTCTGGTGACGCTCACGCCATTTTATAATTCGGTTTTTGATTTCCGGGGAAGTACTTGACGGTACAGCGCACACTTTCATCAAGACTGCCTCTGCAAGTTTGGGACGATATATAACCTTATTCCTGACTCTTAACTAACTAGCGGTTTGCTGATCTCATAGCTGTAGTCATCAATGCTCAATCTTCCGCTTAAAGGCCTCCTTCGGATATGGATACAGTCAGGGCGGAACACCTTTGGATTTATTCCAAAAGATCCCGAGAACAAACACTAAACAGATATATCTAAATACGGAACAACCAACGGCTAATTACTTTATAGTTATAGATCAATTTCCGCAAGATACGGTCTAGTTAAGAAAGATTGGTATTACACAGAAATGCGTTGGTGAAATGATTGACAGCGATATCTCCGGCATATATCGGCATGTTATTATAACCGAATTCGATCAACACAAATAGAACAAATATAGGTAGACTGATATTGGAGGTTTGTACGTCATGGTAAGCATGACAACTTCTGCCACCATGGCTGCTATGTATATGTGAGGCTATGCTCGAGAAGCTTCTCTAAATGGGCAAAGCCTTGGATAGCCGAGTTCCCAATTGACCAAATCATGCGTCGACCTCGAGCTGAAAGATTCCATGGATGGAATTATGAAGAACGTGCCGTTTCATGCAGGCACTGTGCTTTGCGAAATTAACGCAGTCTTGATGACAGCTCAGTATATTGGCTCAGACGAGTCGAAGGGCTCAGCGTGTTCCTGCACAAAGAGCATTTCGGACAGTTCCAGATCCAGTGTACTTCAGTATTGGCTAGGGGCACTTTGAAATTGGTGGCGTAATAAATAGATGTCTCCCATACAATTATACTACGATTAGGGTTCAGGAAGAGGATCAGCGTTATTGATGTGACTACAACTGCAGAGTACTGTTGAAGAGCACATAGCGCATTTTCAAGGAGAACGGAGAGATGTGCCAATCGAGGGCCTGACAGTCAAGGACCTACTCACATTGCAGAGGCAGTTGAGAAAATCAACATCTCTCTAAAAACTGGGGTTAGATTGGACCCTCGCCCCGGATATGAGAAGGCTTATGACCGCGCGCTCCGTGGAATGAACCCATAGCTAGGGCACGGTCCGATGCACTGCTACTACTAGCTGTATACATTCAGTTCTAGGCAGGTCTGTGCAGCAACGAGGAATTTTATGACACCGAGATGGAGATACGTGTAGTGATCAAGGAGTCGCTCGGGGAGGAAGAATTTTATGATGCGGATACAGACTCGTCAAACTAGTTGGTGCTTCCGCCAGGCCAGGCATAGTGGACGCTTTAGTTGACCTAGACACACCTGTTGACTCCAAAGGGGAGTCAGGGCGGCTCATTTGCCGTATATCATGACGATCTAACCAGTACAAGGTGACGACCCAGAAAATTGAGAGTCCTCGGACCTAGCTACAAACTTGGTCATTCTGGAATCAAAAGCGAGGCAATTACAGTATGACCAAGTGCTTAGCTATATAGGTAAGGTCCCGTTATAAACTTTAATACTTTATACTGTCACTGACGTATTTAATTATAGTGCACTAGTCGCGCCACTGACTCCAATTCGGGGCAGACGAAATGTAAGTTTCGTGCCTTTTCATTTTACCTTGAGTTTAAACTTAATCGAATCTAGGAAGGAGCAGCAGTGCCGCCAAATTAGGCAGCGGAGCTAAGAAGACTAATACACAGAGATATAGGAAATAGTCACCGATAGTTTTACATGGTACTTCCTACACAACGACAACTACTGGCTCTATGTACCTTGATTAATGGCAAACAAGGAGTAATTCAGCAAGTACATAACAGTCAAAGCTATCAGGGACTCTAAGCCGGTATAAAGAGGCCGGAAGATCTGGCGGTGTAGAAAGCATCACAAACTGCTTAAAAGCCATATCAATCAAAGCCCAATCTGCTGGAGCAACAAGCCACCGATACAAAACCCGTACAGCTTATTCAACCCTACGATACCAGTACCACACACGTTAACTATGGATTTTACCGTCCGATTGCCGACATCGAGGCAAGACAACGACAAACTACAAGCTGTGGTCGATACATAGACAAAGCAGACCTGGCCATGTACCTAGCGTGTCAAGATGGGATGCTCCTCAATGGGGTCGAGCATTGGTCGAATCCTAAGATTCTAAAAGTCTAAAAGGGTTCTCCAAGAATCAAGACCACCATGGCGAACCCAGATAGGGCCTATTATCAAAAAGGGGTAAAGGTAGCGTCGTATTATATTATTGTAGTTGTTCATGCTCTCCTGATACCGATCGTCCCTAGTCAGTAATCAATAAAGAATACAATAGACTCGGGCTCTTCATCAAAAACTTTAACATGACATTCATAAAACAATACAGTCCAATATACATGAAATGTCTAGCAACCTAAAATATGAATTACCCAGGTTGGGGACAGTCAACTGCACTGGAGCAGACAACGCTACTGATAATAATAGTAGTAAAACGGTCGAGACCCACCTCGCTCACACACAGTCCTTGGAAAATACTTCCCGATTTGTGTCCCAGACGCAATCATTATCGGTAATCTAGCATCGTCTACTCCGCAATTTCTTTCAAGCGGATGCGGGGGTAAAAAGTCACCTGCCCAAGCCAGGAGGAAAAAGCGTTACAGGTGGAGACAGACGTGTACGATGGAGTGGCGTTAGAGTGAAGTGTCAGGCAAAGAATGTCTTAGGGCTAGTAAAGTCCATCGGAAGGGCTCATCGGCAGACATCCGAACTGACCAAACTATAATAACGTACATTCGGAAATGCGAACCCTGTACAATTTGTCCTTTTCGAAACAATATGTCATGCATATTCTAATTAGGCAGGAAAAGAGAGATCCTGTCCCCTCAAAGCCCAGGACTAGAACATACTTTTACGTCAGGTCTAGGCAAAACTTCGGCAAATTACTTGATTGATTTGATTTGAGTAGAGCAGAGGCGTAAAGGCCTTAAGAATAGACGTAACGTTAGAACCTAAAGTTTTGTACTCTGTACCCCGCGCGGAGTAAATCTCTCGGGGGTTGAGGCCTGAACACAACTCTCGGTTTATGAAGAGGCTCGGGAACGACCGAGACTCACGGCCGGACGTCGGATACCGGTAGCCGATCTAGACGTCATATGAGAGTCTCACTGGGCAGCAATTATGGACTGTTACTAAGGGCGATACCCAAAACTTGCAGATGACCCTCCGTACAGAACCCAGGTCGAACGGCAAGGTCGTAGCAAGTTGGCAACAGCCAAGAACATACCCAGTTTCGTCATATTCAAAATACTAATCGCCAAGGATGACTAGCCTCCCTAGAAAGACGGAGTATATATCTACCGAAATTTACGATCCCTCTAGCTAAGGTCCAGTACTTTTGTAGCCCCCTTTCTGCCAAAGCAAAAGAACCAAAACTGGCAGGTCGTCTGCGCGGGTCCGGAACCCGAGCCTCGTCAGGCCAAATATATCTTATTCAAGAAACAAATTACGTGGAGCACTTGCAGCTTCACTAAAGAACACTAAGTAGTAAGAGGACTAGTTTAGGTCGGAGTTGGGGCGAGGTCTAGAACTGTCATAGGCTGTTGGACAGAACACTAGCCTGCATGCTAGTCGGCGATCGTATTCTTTTAATACTCCGTCTGTATTAATAAAGACCAGGGAAGAGGTCGCTGCAAGCTGGTGGTGACAGACGTGGTTTCAAAGGCTCAGCTCAACCTCTGTGGCCTGGCCGCGAAAGCATTAAACGGGATCAGATTTCCATCTTACGTGTACTCCAAGGGTGAGGGAGTGAAACGGTAGTGGTAATCTTCGGTGTGGTTTGTTTCGCAAGGGGGCTCTGTTTGGGGATCGCTGGTGTGATTGGAAGGAAGGTATGATACCCGTCAGGTGTCAGAGGCTGTTATGCAGGAATTATTGCGCATGGTGGCGTCGGCTGAGGGATATCCCGAGTTTACTTGCTTCGTAGCACCGTCGATCATGTACATTTTAATTCAAGGAAGGGGCAGAAAGATTAGAGGAAATTGAAAGCAGCTTCTAAGGCAGCTTAAGGGTGTTTTGTCGACCTGTAGGTCACTATATGCAAATCTCTCCGTACAGGACATAATATAACGAGTTATTACTCCGTACCTTGTTTAGGTCCCATCATATTGCTAGATCATGACAGAGGAAGGGGCTGGAGAAATTTTTTCAATGGGTCGAGAGGACAGCGAATGGGCTGAGGCGTTTCACCAGTTTTGGAAGAAATTTGACGGTGGAGAGCTCTTTGTGGGCCTAACGAACCATCCCTTGCTTAGCCTGTCTTGTCCCAGACGGCCGGTCCTACTAGTAGGATCAGATAAGCCGCAACAGGGATAACCCGGGCGCTTCAGGATGATTCGTAACAGTGCCGTCCTCCTTACCCTGGCGATGCCAGGGTCGTGTGCTAGCATTCAAAGAGGCCCGCAATTTGCTTATGCATGGTACAGTTTTGCGCACACTCTATACACTTCCTTGAGGCATCTCGGTATGCGAATGAGCGCAATATCTGCATGCGAGCGGCCCATCATCCACAAGGGGCAGGCCCAAAACCTTTTATAAGACCGGCACCAAGAGACGCACCTGGAGATGAGCGTAATTCGACCCACCGTTGACGATAGATATATCATACATCGCCTGGAAAATCTGTTGAACTTCCAGAAACCTGAAGAAGAAAGTGGAGGAGATCAGAGGCGCCATTTTGTTGGGCATGAACGGGCGTACCCAAGGAATGGTTTGGCCATTGTGGGAGTCTGATTGGTAGCCGCCCGTCGATGCGTGCCCTTCTAAGGTAGTAGTAGTGTGAGTCCCTGCAGAAGAAGTGTGCATTTATTGTGTACTCGATACCATAAGCGGTAATGACCAGCAACCCCGGAAATCTACAAATAGCTCCATGGCCAAACTATGTCGCTATCTGATTGATATGATCCAGCCGCCGATATCGGCGAGAGCCCCACTTTGATTGATACGAGACATGGCAATCACGAAAAATACGCAATTGCGAATACGGAGATGAGCAGTCTGGACTTAGAAGCATAGAAGGAGGATTGAGCACGGACACAGAGGATACACCCCAAGTAGATGCACGGCTCAGAAGTCAGGACACATTCTCCTGAGAGCTCAAGGAGGCTGCGCTGACTGCTTCCGGCGTGGGGTGATTCGGAGAAGAACGGCGCCATCCACTAAGTTATCTGATCCGGAACCATTGTCTTGTGTGGATCACGTGCATCCATGGACTGAGGCAACCCAAGAATGGGGGGGGGAAAAAAAATCTGACTCGAGGAATATGACGCCCGTGATTCCATTAGCAAACAATAATAAGCATGAGATTATTATTATCAGAAGGGGTATAAAACCCCCTTGACATTCATGAGTGTCACGCATGCAGCCTCGGGTGGAGGACGCTTAATCAACGGCTTAACCGAGGGCGGCCGCCGAGCAGGGATGGGTTGCCAGCCGGATCAGATTAGATCGGTAATTTATTCGGCTACCCTTCCGTTACAGACCGGTACCTTTGGCCGTATTGTCACAAAGGAACTTTCAACCTGCTCATGGGCACATCGAAAGCAAGAAGAGAACAACGATAGAGAAAAGAAGGGTCAAAATTCAATCAATTCAGACCAATCGAGCATGAATGTAGTTTCTAACACGGCTGGATATACCGCTCCTTCCCGATCATCTGACTGCGTGACTATTTCCCCACTAGAGTAAAAGATTCCGCTTAGCTGCAGATCTGGCTGGACACTTGTCAGCTCCCCGGAAATCTTAGGCCTGGATGACTGTATCATTCTCCTCCTATGATCCCACAGAGGATAGTAAGCAGCGGGACTGGCAGGGTATAATCGATTGCCATTAAGCCATGAGAGCGCAGTACAGTACACAGTACAGTATAAAGCAGGGCGGAGAAATGCCGGGTCAGTCGCCCGGAAGGCGAAAAGTGGATAGAAGGAAAAGTTACCACCGCGTACGATAAGTGTAATGACGTTTACTCACCGCGAATGAAAATCAATGTGGCGAGATTGTGTGCCCATTTTTTTTTCTCTCTTCCGGGTGTTTCCCCTTCACATCATTCTTATTTCACTCCTTATCTGATTTGCCTTTTCTGCAAGTTGGGTGATAGCGTTCCCCCTCAAAAAATCATTTCTTATTTCTTTCTGCTGGACTGCTTTCCCTTCTCCCGGTTCAAGTCCACATTTACCCATTGATTGAGATTCTCCATCACCCAGAAAGAGAAGAATTTCCTGAATGATCGACCCTCAGCTGACATAGCGCCAACGACGGAACCATTATCCCGGTGCCGATTTGTGCCCCCCAGGCCGAAGAGGAGTTCAACAAATTCCCACCTCATCCCACTCTCTCCCGTCCACTCTTCCGATTTGCTCTCCGGATCCTACTGGTGTCAAACGGCCATTGTCGTTTCCACTTTGCTAATTAAGACCATTCCTCTATCGCTTGGCTTGGTCGTGCCCCCCCCTTTCTTCTGCACAATCCTTTTATAAATTCAACACCCGTCCCCGGAAAAGCAATCACCACGTCTCTGGTCCCCGGTTCTCGATTGATCTGGCCAGTACCCTTCTTTCGACGAGTGATTACCCTGTTATTGTATCAATTACGTACCGACACAATGGGTATGTGGCCCTCTGTTGGCTGTTATAGCCAATTGGCTCTCTTCTCTCTCGACTAGGTAGCTGACCTTGGTTCCTGTAACAGTGCATGCCGTCCCTTCACCACCGCCGAGGTCTACGGCGGTGTCAAAGACCCCTTATACTCCCAATGGCGACCACCATGCCATTCCGGTGTCGTCCACCTCGCACCCGGATAACCCGGTGCCAGAAGAACCCCGTGGTGTGAGGTCATTGTCGGTGACGGATATGAGCTTCAATGTTTCGTCCACAGAAACCGATAGCACTCCTAGCTCGGGCTCTCCGTCGACTGTCCCTACTGAGCCTCAGTCGGACGCCGAAGATGTAGCCCAGAAGTTGGAGGAAAATGGTACCGGCCATCGACGCCGAGCCTCGACTGTGCTCATCTCCCAGAACTCCGCCGATATGCAACGAGTTCTGCAAAACGTTGGTGCTCCAGGCACACAGAAGATTCAGCCGTTGTGCTGTGGCGGTGGATGCTGCCGTAGCCAGCCTCTGATCAGAGGCGATGGTCCTGTCTCTGGCATCATGGTGACTCCACCTCAAAATAAGGCCTATGACGCTCTCAAGTTGAACGTCGATCTCCTTACCATGGATAGTGAGCTCACCGATGTTGTTGACCTTCCTGCAAAGACGGTGTCCTTTGCAGCTATCCCTGCATCGGCTGTGGAGACGCAACTTGGACCGAAGGATCACCCGCCTCCCTTCGTCCAGCCTCACCCCCCGTACAATGTGTACCGTGCTCCTCTGCACCACGCGCGAGAACTCACCAAGTCGGGTGCTGAGAAACGGACCTACCATTTCGACATCGACGTGACCGACTATCCCGCGGAAAGTGGCAACGTGGACTTCGTTGTTGGTGGCGCAATTGGCGTGTGTCCTATGAACAAAGAGGAGGAGGTCGACGATATCTTCAACTGCCTTGGAGTTCCCAAATCGATCCGTGATAAGAAGATCACAGTGCGCACAAGCACAGGCCGGTGGCCCACTATCTGGGGTGACGAGCAAGCCCGTGAATTGATCACAACACGCAGGGAGCTCCTGAACTGGTGCTCAGATATTCAGAGTTACTCCCCGTCGAAGGAACTGTTCCGTCTTTTGGGTGAATACGCCAGCGAGCCAAACGAGAAGAAGATCCTCATGTTCCTCGCCTCAGCTCAGGGCCAAGGCGCCTTCTGTGATCTCCGTACCTCCTCTCATGTCTCCGTGTCTCAACTTCTGCACGCATTCTCCTCGTCTCAGCCACCCTTGGACCATCTGCTTTCCGTTCTCAACACTTTAATGCCCCGTTTCTACTCTCTGTCTCAAGATCCCCTCCTCTCGTCTGCCCAAAAGAGTGGCCAATCCCGCCGTCTCGTCGAAGTTGCCGTTAGTGTGGCAGAATCCAATGATTGGAAGGGCGGATTGCGAACCGGTGTAGGATCTGGATACCTTGAGCGGCTGGCACGGCAAGTGGTGGAGGCGGAGCGTCAGGGCATCGACCCTTCAACTCTCAATCTTCATGTCCCCATGTTCCGGGGCTTGATGGCCAACCCACTGGCCAAGCGGTTCCACTCGGACGGCCCCATGCTCCTGATTGGTGCTGGTGTGGGCATTGCTCCCTTCCGTGGTTTCGTCCAGCGCCGGTTGCAATCGGCCAACTGTGCCAACAAGGTGTGGGTTCTACAAGGTGTGCGTGATTCCCTCCTGGACGAGCTCTACCGCGGCGAGTGGGGCGTCGATGAGGAAAAGGTACGAACGGTGGTTCAAAGCCGTCGTGGTGAGAGCAGATACGTCCAGGAAGAGGTCCGTCACCAAGCTGACCTGGTCTGGTATGTTATCAACGCATTGGACGGTCGTGTCTTTGTCTGCGGTAGCGGCAAGGGTATGGGCGAGGGCGTTGAGGCTGCTCTGGTTGATGTGGCTATGGCCAAGGGCAACCTGAATGAAGAGGAGGCCAAATTGTTCTGGGACAATAAGAAGGAGGCTGGCCAATACATTGCTGTAAGTGACTACGACCTTTATGATGATGATGATGATTTGTGACTAACGACGAAACTAGGAAACTTGGTGATGACATATATATTTTTCTAGGGTACAGTTGAGCTGAGTTGACCTTGGCTGTTTCATACATTATTTGGGTCAGGTACATTAGGTTTATTTGCATGCACTTGGGATGTGTTGTTCGGATTTATTGGGTTGCGTATCCTTGTCGGATTCTTTGCATGTCATTAGCGGGTGGCTTTCTGATTCTCACCTGGTTGAGCCAGGTTTTTTCTTATTGTCAAAAACTATGGTTGTTACATCATAGATTATTTGGTAGCAATACCTAATGACATATTATTGGGTTAAACAGTGTCCGGCCGTAGGTCATTGACAATCATAGTGTACAACTCAAGGCATTCATGAGGACCTGGGGAGATTTACACATGGACTCCACATTAACTCTGCACAGAGACCTCTACTACCGTAAGCCCTGAACTTATCCTATTACAATCACTAAGAAGCCTTCATCAGTGGACCTATTGCAGAGCCAACGGTACTACTCTACGTAGGTCCCTTGTATAGGTAGCCAGGATCCATATTAACCCTGATCACCAACCGGAGCTCTTTACCCAACCGGCATAGCAAATACCTCATTGAAGACAGTATCCAACGCATACAATCTAACACATCAAGCATCCCAGAATAGATCTCCAGAAGCCCGAATGATAATACTACTATAATAACCACCAAGGCCAACGATATAGACTTATACATTTACCCCAATCAAACAATCCACCTCCCATTATCCTGCTTCTACCATTACTCCCAGCCTCCTTTAACAAAGAACACCTACCTATAATACGAAGCCGTATCAGTCAAAATCCTAGGATAGAAGTAGCCCATAAGAAGCCGAGCATTCAGAAGGTAAACAGTACTTCACTCAGGGCTGATCATACTTAAACTATAAGTAATAATCGCTGAATGGCGGAACTGGTTACGCGACCTGGTTTCACGCCGGGAGAATGCAGTCGAGTCCTGTCGTAGCTATTCTTTTTTTTTTTTTTAATCAAATTCTCTTCATTTAGTCTGTTCTAGGCCTAGGAATGGTCCGGTCCTTGGTCTTTTTTTATAGGCCTAGGACCGCACTATGGTCCCCCGGGAGCACCTTGGCAGTCCCCCGCGGGGGACCATTTTTATATAATTTTACCACAATCTTCCCTTTTTGGTAGAATAACTATATATTAAATTTAGATTAAGATAGAATAAAGATTTTATATATACTTAAAAAAAAAGTTATAAACTTTTCTATAATATAAATATACAAAGTAGAATACTAAAAATATAGACTATCAAGTATAAGACAGTATACCACTCGGTTAAAATATATTAGATATTTAATTATATCTCTAAATAATCAATCCGGCCAATATATATTATAGAATTAGATCTATTTATCTTATCTAGAGGACCGCAGGACCGGACCAGACCGCACTACTGCGGTCCTTTCCTAGGCCTAGTCTGTCCACTCATTTGATCTCATACCCGTACTTGACGGAAGAGAGGACCAGGCTTGTCTTTTTTTCCGGGATGGACTATATAGGACTAGACTTAGGAGGTTACTCATTGAATACCGAATGTGCTTCTCGTGGATTGGGGCCGTAGCCTGTGATTTGAGCTGTATAGTATATTATATAAGGGGTGTTGCTGCGATTGCTTTTGTTGGGTCATACATAGGGTTGGTTTGATAGTACTTGGGTTGAGTCTATATTGTGTAAAGTTACTAATCATAATTCGAGTATGTGTATATTCATACTATGTATCTAGTCTTTCCATGGACATATTATACTACCCGGTATCTCAGTACTAATAACCTCTACCAGCTCAGGCATATATTAGTACTTCTTACCCTAGATCCATAACCGAGAATCTCAGCCAGAATACCATTTAGTCCAATAAACTCCATACACCCAAATTCAAACCCATCCCCATTCCTGGCAAAGTTCCCAAGATGCACTGACAAAAACTAAAAAGAAGGGAAAAAAAAAAAAAAAAAAAGACAATTCCAACCGTGAATCCCCTCACAAAGCCAACAAAGGCCCCTATTACCGCGACAACAAAACCAAATCCTTCACTACAGCCACGCCGAGACTCACAAAGAAAGATTATGAACAAGAACCACAATTCAATTAATCATGGTTTAATCACGATCTAATATGGAAATGCATTTATGGCTGGAGTTGAGTTACATGTCCGAGAGGCGCGTTCCAAAGTCGAAAGGGATAGGAACTATATTACTATCTTCATATCATCTTTACATACTCATGATTCATTCAATATATCTACATTGAACTATCTGACTCATTCGAAATCATTCTCAAGGAAGACAATCGAACAAAGACAAAGAACAAACAAACAAAGCCTTTCTCATCCACGGACCACCAACCCAACAAAAAAGAACCTATCTATCTATCTACTACAAAGTCATTCATACCGTACAGGATAATCATCGCGTATAACCCAACTCATTCAGTATCACCATCGAGTCTATCCCAACTCCAACTTACGGAAAAGAAAAAAATAAAAAAAAAAAAAAACCTCCCCACACAATATGCATTACGTCTACTACGCCTCGCTATATACCGTCTGGACCCTGATGCCCGTTGGTATCCCGGACCGGAAGTGGTGGGCCGAGATGGCCGCATTCCTGGAGGAGTGTCTCCTGATTATCCAGCTGGGGGGCGATGACCGGTTTAAGATCAAGAAGGTCAATCCTGTTGTGGATGAGGGGTATGAGACTGGGGATGGAAGTGATTGTGGGGGTGGATTTCGGGGTTGTGTTGGGGATGAATATAGTGAGGATGAGGGGTTGAGTGAGTCTGATTTTGAGGGGGAGGGAAGTGAACATTAGCGTGATGGTGAGGGAGGTCATGTTGATGCTGATGCCGATGCCGATGCTGACGATGAGGAGGAGGAGGAGGTGAGAGAGAATAATATGGAAGGTCAGGATCAAGGACATACCCCGGAGATCGTGAGTTGGGACCGTAGGGATGCAGGTGGAAAGGTGGAAAGTAGTGAGGAGCGTCTACGTCTGGATTCGCATGGACATGGACACCGGGACTCTCAATATCGGGCTTGGGCGGTCAAAATCCTGCTCAAATACGGTACTACCTTTCATTGGGATGATGAGAATGGGGAACCGACTTTCGACGACGTGCGATATCAGCTGTGGCAGAAGATTTGCCATGATCTTCGTGAGATTGATCTTAAGCTAGGTGGTCGTGTCTACACGAAGCCTGCTCTTGGGTTTCGTTGATTGTATAGCTGGGATTTGGATATGAGTGATGAGGGCTATCCAACTATTGGTATCATGGAAGCCGTCCCTGTAGAGCTTTCGATTCATATTCGAATGTTAGGGTTAATAACTTCGACGGGGAGCCAAAAGCACAATGGAAAGACAGTAGTTGGAAATATGTCTCCACATATATTAGTATGTCTCTTCTGTCATGTTAGACCTACTCAGGCAAAATGCATGTATGTAATTCTTAATAGCACATATAATCACTACAACCGGGGCCGTTACTTCAGTCAGACCACTACCTGCCCTTGGTTGAACTATATTAGCATGTACAATTAACATAGAGATACCGGACGATAATCAGATAGCATACTCTCCGTAGTTACAGACATCATTCAGGGACATTTACATAGCTCAAATACCACGTCAAGATCTGACATATAAATCTATATTATTGCACAAGACAAAATATACAACCACCGACTATAGCCCTACTTCCAACCACATAGTACTGGAACAATATGTTAAGTCCTTCGCTAGATAAAACCATCATCAACCAGATATCACCTTATAAAAACCATTACAAACTTCATCAAAGCCCATTTTACGTGGTCTGCAAAACACCATATTCAAAGAATAGCTCCTAAGAGCACCCATATCAAAGCGACAACTCTATACACCACACACTACACATTTATCCCCTCTACATCCAGTTGCCAGCACCTCATCACTCACACTAGATACAATACTACCTTCCTACCCAACGGATCAAGATATACCCAAACCCGAAACCCCACTCCAATCTCTACCCACATTATACATATCTCTAAGCCCATAGTTCCCCACTCTCAACCCCCAAAGCAAGCCTAAGCAGAACAATAATGAAGAAAAGGAGGAGGAAGAAGAAGGGGAAGAGTGATAGAGTGAAAAGAGAAACCCCACACCGCACAGACCCTCTATATCCAACCCCCAATCCACCACAGCACATTACCAACGAAGCATAAGAAGAAGACAACAAAGAAGGGGAGAAGAAAAAGTAACCCAAACAGCGCAACAATGAACCCACTTGAGTCGGGTCATAAGGCCATACCCAATACCCAAACCACACCCACAGGGCGCCTATCCAAGTCTTTTAAGCTAAAATAGCTACTAGCCAACTACACCCACAACTCAGTACACCAATCATGCCAAAAAAGAACCCAAAAATCAGCTATACACAATATACATAATACATACATGTACATTCATACATACATACATACATACATACGATACAATACCCAAACTAAAGCAAAATCAAGTAACATAGTATATACATCGTATGTAACTAGTAATTTTAATTATGTATGTAGGTATGTATGTACAAGTAACTAAAAAGGAAAAGTGAAAGGAAAAGAAATAGAAACGGTAAACAGGACTATTCGCTGCGAACGCACAGCCGCTTAGACACCTGCATGTACTGTACAAGGACACACGTCCTGCATATGATATATCCCTGGCCAAATCCCAAATACCGGGATGCGGGAGGCATCGGGTAGAAAACCTGAACGGCGTTATTATGCAGTTTGCAGGTGGTCACTAATGTCGGTGGCTTGTTTGGGGTTAGAGATCATAGGTGGGAGAAATCGGTGGTGCGAGGTTTGGTTGTTTACTTGTTTTGTGGGGGGGGTGACAGTTTGCACCTTTGTTTTTGTTTTTTTTTTATGCTTTTGTTTTGTTGCTAGAGTAGGTTTTATTCCCCCCTTTGTTTTCTGTCATTTTCATTCTTTTCATTTTCTCTTTTTTTTTTTTTTT